ATATAATGTTTTTTATATAATTTTACCACGGCGGCAATTTTTCTGGTACAATGAATAATATATTTAATACTGTGCGGTACGTATTCAGAATATGTAAATGAACACTAAAAAAAATGTCAACAAATGTAATTAAATGCTGGTCGCATTAATTGCGATAGTAAAATTGGCTATTTATTGAAAGTATTAAAGGCTCCAGTAAATACGGACAACACTTACCAAAGCTAAAATGCTTCAAGATTTGCTCATACTAACATTAAACTAAACTTAGGAATTCCTGACAGAGGGCCTTCTATTATAGGTATCATTTACCGTAGTCAGTTGTGTAAGTTCTCAATTGCTTGCTTCTCATTTGTATTGATTTAGTGCCTCGTTAAGTACATATTTATTGTGTGTAAGATGTACTATTCGAAATTGATTGTAACTCAAATGTTAGGATCTACGTATTCAGTATCGTTACTTGATCACACTTGTCAAACCCATTGCGGATGTATTGCTTTGAAAAAGTCTTGATTTTAAGGAAAAAAGCATCTGAGGGAGGTTGCCCTATCAGACATTTTAGCTTGCTCAAATTATTTTGCTAAGCAATAATGGGCGGTTTCCTCAAATTGCCTAAACAAACAAACAGAAACGGTAAAAGGAATGCACGTTAGCGTCAATGACGCAAAAGTTCATCATTATGATGATGATGAAGGGTGAATGGGTGGCGTTGATCATTCTGTTTCATTGTTGTGTTATTCACTGTCTCCTACCTCGAGCAACGTTGAAGAAAGGAGGATAATGACACTGAGGTAAAGACCGTGCTGGTCTTGTTGGCAGCACTGACACCATCACCAGCCTATAGTCCCGATTCAAGGCGACATATTGTGTAAACGACGCTTGCTATTCCGTCCGAGCAATTAAACTCTAAACCAGCTATAAGTTATTCGATGCCTGTGCATTGGCGCTTGTTCGTAACATTAACCTCGATCTACCTCTAGACCAGTTTATCTAGGACTTCTGATCTGTTTGCACTTTACTGCTTCCCCATCGGTGCTGCGTATCGTACATGTGATCCGGGCGGTAATATCGACAGCGCTTCGATCGTGTGATGTAAGAGTGGCAGTCATTTTGTAGAAATATCGGTCCAAATTTTGTTTTCCAAAAAAACGGCGTGAGAAGTACTTTACAGGCAGTTCATGCGACAGAAGCTTATGTGAGGAATGCTTTTGTTTGCATGACTTTGAACTACACAAGATATTTTAAAACCCGAAATCAATCTTTTCAGAGGCATGCCAGAACACAGTAAAAAAGCGTTTTTCCCAATGGGGTCTCCGTAGCCATGTTACTGCGAAAGGTTGATATTTATCTGAAACGTGGTTCGACAGTCGTCACTTTAGGAAATACGTGATTGTTTGAAAAATACCGCCTTGGTTGAGAAAGTAGAAGAAGAGGACAAATGTGTACAGACGAAAGTCTGATTTTTCTTAATACCAGTATGCTAATTAGGTCATATAATGAAGAGTATCCCTTAGAAACATTAAAGATAAGAATGGGTTGAAAACTTTAAGCCAAGGACTTATGGATATCGGCGTAAATCTAGGAGTCTCCCCTTTTACTTGCTACTACCCAAATGCCAGCGAATCGCTGAAGCACACTTCATCTATTTGAATATACAGGTACTACATGGCATGATAATCCCTGTTTTGCGGTAGAGAAAGACCATGTATGTACCTTTCCTCTTACTGGTGTGTAGCGCATTATGCTTCGCTTACTGCTCTTTATGATAATACATTGTGTAGAAAAATGTCTTTACTGAGTTCGAAGATTGTTGATTTTCGCAATCATATAGTCAATGATGGTTTCATCTCATGTGTGGGACGTCTGCATAGCTATAAACATTAATCATTATCTAAAGTGTCTATGCGTAGCATCGTTCTTCTGTAACCATTTCCATGTAAACTTTTCCATGTGTTATGGTAATGCCTTTTATGTATTTGCGACGGTACTATATGGCTAATCTGATTTTTGTGCGAATTATATACCTATAGGTAACACACGGTGTTTGTATAAATAGTATAGCCTTAGTTACAAGCGTGCTCTAGGAAGTCTGATCTGGCGGGCTACTACTCTTGTAGTTAAGTTCATGTTCTGGGCATTGGGATCCCTGTTGTCGAAAACCTTATTATTAGCATTCGCAGATATATCGTTTTAGCGGAAGCGTCCTCGTTCTATGCGCGTATATTTCGCGTCTGCCAGAGTATGTTTTCCTGTACAAGTATTTTATAAAACGCTCTCGAATGCTTAGAAAAGTTATTTCATACGCCAGAAAATATCGTTTCTAAGACCATTCATTTATGGCTCCGTCTATGGTTTCGGGATTGCCAGAGAAGCCAAACATGATGTTGCTGTCTATATTAACACGCTCACCTGCGCTTTTCACATTGTTCTTAGCTAGTATGGTTGCTAATTACCTAATCTTTACAACAGTATTGAATATGAGGCATATATGTGAAATACTGTGAACTCTAAGTTCTGTTTGTTAAGTTCTTTTCTTGTTTAGTATTAAACCGTTTGTATCGCCATAATTGAATCTTGCGGAGAAAGTTTTCTGTTATGATTTTGTTCACGAGTGTTTGAAATCAATATTCGATGAACGTGTCGTCGGCATATAGAATGTGACTTTCGTATGCGCATTGATGGAAGAATTGCATGCCTTTTCGAGGTAAAGAATCTGATATCGGCGTCGTTCGATTAATCTGGAGAGGATAAAGGCGGCTGTAGCCGGATCATTGAGATCGCCTGACCTAATAAGTCTTGCTGCTTTTTTTTTCGTAAGCACCAGTGGATACTTGTTCTTGTTTACAAAACTGTTATTTCTTTTTGAAATTTCTGCAAGAAGAAGCATAGTCTTTTCTACCGAAATACTTTTAAGTAGTTGGAAATACTGGATGCTTATGAGAATAATTCTTTCTTCGACAAGATAACTCGTTTGCTATAACTAATGGTCGTCGTAGACGCTGAATTACATCGAGAGCAATTTGAGAAAATCCTGCATATTATCTCATGTAATCTTTTCATTCTGCTTATTTAACGGTTTGCTCACTTTATCCTCATTCGGCTAATGCCAAATGAAAGAGCAAACGTTTAACTTTACGTGGATTTTACATATACGGGAAATTCTACTACAGTAACCTACTATCGAGTGCTAAAAATGTGTGTGATAAATAAGGTCGTTCATTAATTGACTTAGCACCACTAGTAACCTTTATTACTACTCCTTTGGATTAGTACCAAAAGAAAAAGTAGACTCCACTTGACACGCGTTTGTTTCCCAATTAATTACAGTATTTCCTTTTTAGTATATTTTTAGTAGTATATTTTTCCGAAATTATTTCTGTGACCCCTCGTCATGTATTTTAACCTCTAGCCGCAGAGGAAATTTTGAAGCTTTATAATCCCATTGAGAAAATTCTACGTTTGCGCATTCTCAAACATTGACTTGAGTTTTTCACGTATTCCATATACAAATCCCACCCATGTTCCCACTAAGCCAATGTAAACGAAGCCTGCCAAAATAAAAAATGAACTATATTTTGAAATGTTACATAACTATGTTAAAAAACGATGAGCACGTGCCTTAGTACCTGTAGTACAGGCCTTAGTATCGGCGAAATATAATAGAATCCTATTAATATCTACAGCTTTAGTTAAAAGCATGTCGCATCCCTATACAGCTTCGTAACAATGTCCGTTTTATAGTGTTCTGTACTGATAATAGCTAGTTCTCTGCCTATTCATTTTTGGAAAAGCATTGTTATCTGAATTAGTTTCCTATTGCGGCACATTTCAGCATAATCCATATTACCTAGAGATCATCTTAATTGTCTTTTGTTCAAGGCTTACTTGTTGCACTTGCCGGAAGGAATTCGATATAGAGATCTTGCACACATTTTTATGAATCGTTATTTCGATGAACAACCCGGTGCGTACAAATGGCATTTTTGCCAGGGTCACAAGTTTCGTCGAACTGTAAAACGCATTCTTGTTTTAGAGGAGAGTTTAATACCGACTGGTATTTTTTTGAGCAACCACTTAATTTATGACGGTTTAAGATACAACCGGAGATCATGGAGTAATGATCCATGATTGCATGCTAAAGCTTAAGGCTTTATCTTCCCCTCAGTACTATTTTCGTTATCGCAGTAGATGTTCTACGTTCCAGTGCGCTCGAACTTGACCGGAAAGCCGAATTTACGGCCTTTCTAACGTAAATGCAAATCTGTATTATTTAGTATCGACCGAAAGGACTGACGATTAGCTTCGTCAACTTTTTAGAGTGAACTATTTAAGCTGACCTATTCTCGTTCAGGTCCCCTCACCTGGTAGAAAAACGTTAGTCTCGTTAGCAAATTTTTAAACGAGTTTCAGGAAACCGAAGTATCTGTTATTTCCCTCTCTGATACCTCTTGCCAACAACAGAATCTATTAAAAGTTTTCTGATCTAAACACAGCACGCAGTACGTTTAAATATTCTAAAGTACGTAACCACCCATAGTGTGCTTAAACAAGTTATTTTCGTAGAGATTGGATGTTGAAAACGTAAATAGCCTCCTTGTTATAGATGTTATAGATGCGGTCTCACGCCTCAACTACCAGCCTCCAGCCAGTGGTTTAAAAGGTCGGTAAATGAGAACAAAAGCTGTGGTTGAGCATCCGTAAGGCTACGTTTTGTAAGATTAACTCAGACGACCATCTGGTTTCGGTAGCCTTAATGGTACGTCTGCAGTTAGGATATACATCTGCTTTGAATGACTGGCTACTTTAATTCGCTAAGACTTATTTTCTTTATCACCATTCAAGTTTATCATATTTAGTTAATTGTTGTTAAGAATGTAGCCTTAGAAATTAGACTCAACTGAAATTAGAAATTCTGACCATGTACACTTTGGGATTTCAATCGACGGCTATAAACCAAAGCTATCAATCTGAGCTATATTTGTCAAAAATAAAACACAAACAAAAAGCTATCAAAGTGTTTAATACACACGTTTGTTTATTAAAAAGATCCCAGTCAATGTCGTAACTTGCAAGGCGGCAGTTATCATATTATTTATTTATGATATAGAGACAAGAAGCGTATCGTGAATAAATGTTGTTTATTGATAAACTGCTGGATTACGTTGTCGTAGACTTGCGTTCTTGATTGGAAAGCAGCTACTTTAATAAACAAAGAGGTCGGTTGTCACACGAATTAGTTCACCATGCCAAGGCACTTGTGAGCTTGTTTTGAAACTAAAATATAAAAATAATTAATATTTTTTCACACGCCTCAGCTGGTGACTATCATTAAATTTAAAGCCGATGTTCTCTACGTGGTGCTTGACCACTATAAGAATCTAATAATATTTTTGTGATTTTTTCCGTATCATGAAACAACCACTCAACAATTTAACATTAATCTAAATTACACAATATTACGCAAGAAATGCTGTATCCGTTGTGTATAGATGTGTGGGTGTTATTTGTTATTGTTTTTATTTGTAACAGTATGTAATTCGGTTATTTGTAATAGGTTTGTGGTATTCTCTGACTAGCGTCTCTTTCGTCACACATTCGAGGTGACCCTTTTGTTATTAATAACTTTTTTTTTTAAGAGTTCTATTAATACAAAATGAAGGTGCTTCCCGTCATGAAGCGCTTCTGTCAGGATATTTTAAGTACTGCCGTAGACAATGCTAAGTGAGGCAATGTAAGCTATATTAAAAAGTCATGGGAGCACCAGCAGACCAATGGCTTCCAGAATATTGCGAAAAGACCATCGGCATCCCAAATCAAAGCAAAACAAACAAAAAGACCACTTAGTCTATGGGGTCATCTATAATCATTAACATAACATACAGACGTCTGTGGAAACGGTGTCTTTAAATTTTTTCTAATATTAGGGACTCACAAACGGCGACCATTCATCGGCTAAAGAAAAATGCATAGCTTTGTCATGGGCATTCTTTAAACAATATAGAAACTTTTTTACAATAGGAAAAGTAAAAGGTTTCGACATATTCAGTATTTATAACACTCTGGATCGAATATACGATGGGTGGTTACGGCAGATAGCAAGTAATAATTTTTAGTCCATTATAGGTATATCCTCATAGGTGTACCCTGGAGTTTCGTAATAAGCTTGATAGGCAATGTAAGTGTAATGTGCACCGGGAATGAACAAGAGACTTCCGAGTAAGTAAAAACCCCACATCGATTCATGGAAGGATTCGGGCATTAAGGAGAGATTGATGAGCACGGCAAGGCTGATCAACAGAGAACCTGAAAAGGCAAATAAACAGGCCTGATTTAGAATCCTGTTTATGTTCATTAAAATCTAATGTTACCAGACGAGGCCAAAGTGAAGAATGTCCGCTTTTCCCAGAAGCAGTTACCACTACGCAACAATCTAACCCAGTTTTTTTCATTTTATTGTTTTTAATATTTTTCATTTATACAAACGTGAACATGTGAAGGTGTTACCTAATGAAGATGAATGTATCATAATTCGAATGTTCACGATAATAAATTGCATTCATATCTCACGTAAAGATCCAAAGAAATAAGTTTTAAATTTCTTTGAAGGATGGTCTAAAATATAATTTCGCAATTCGAGTGTGCTACAAAAACAGTGACTTTTTATTTAAAATGAACTAGTTTTTAGAAATATTGGTTTTGTGTATAGCAGTTGTGATTGCAGACCTTGTGTGCGTGTGTGCGTGTTTTTTTATCACGATTCAATGTAATACTGGCAAAAATTCATAAATAATTTAAGGTGGTATAGGAACTTGGGTTAGTGATGATATACGATACGGAAATTCTGTAATGGTCAAAGCAACAGTAGAGTTACAGAAAGAAATTGACACGTTAACATAGTTAATATAGCAATTGAGGTAAAGAAATAAAATTATTCAGCTTAACTTCTTTTTCATATAGATTTTTTGCACATTTCATATAAAAGGTATGGGTTAAAGAAAAGTATTTATAAATTTGCTGGAAGAAGTAGACTAAATGATGAAAATACATCCTTTTGATTATAAGTATATAATATAATGATGATTTTCAAAAACGAGAAGAAATATATTTTTACACATACCATTTGATGACTATATAAAGTAAGTGCTGACTATATCTCTGAGTATTGGGATTTGTGTATGACGGATATTCCAATGTAAACTTTAAATGGTGAACGGCATCTTAGATGAGAAAAAACGATATTTACCAAGAAAGAAAAGAAGTATAGCTGAACCAATGGATTTGTATGGGATCGGTTGTTGATGTCGTGGTTTTTCAAACTGTTCTGGAATAAAGTCGTCGTTCCGAAGCCTTTGATATCCTTGGTGAGGTCGAGACCCACCCAAAGGATTAGCTGTAAGCAAATGGTATGCCGTATGAGATTACGACTAGTTCTTCGTGCGTTTTGCTAGCTCTTATAAGAAAAAAAAAAGTAATATTTCTAAATAACCAAAATAAATGAACAGTTAACTCTGTTGGTGTATTATCTTAGTCAATGGGCTACTGAAGCATTCCGTAATGTTTATCTAACATTAGATGCAAATATAAACCGTTAGACATTATACTGCACGCTGAAGACAGCCAAGTTTTTGTTATACTAATATCTTAGTGAAGAGAAGAGCTTAAAAGCAACACCCCGTATACTATTTTGAACATACTATTGCGTCACCGACAATGGAATTCTTTCAACCCATATTAATGAACGCCACCTGCTTACAACAAAACTAAGCTAGGTAAGTTGCGCGTGCAGACTGAGAAGGCAACGTTCCGCCTTCCAAATATGTATTCCGCCTATTTTATTATTTATTATACCAATTTAAAGTAGGAACGTCGAGATAACAGCTTTATAAGCCAACGGCACAATCTGAAATATCTAACTATGGTAACGAACTGATTCCGACCACGAAATATTTATATAGCAGAGTTTTCAATTCGGGTGATTGGTGTGAAAGATGTGATATGATTAGTTCGCAGTAGTAAGACAGAGAAAGAAAAAAGACAATCGAAACAGCGGGGTCTTTGATACGACATCAGATGTTTTGCCGCTTCATAATGCTACATGTGTGAATCACTATCAGAGCACCTATCCAACCGATGCATCTATCAGTAGGATAACTAGTGTCAAGATAAAATCTCACGCATTCTCCAGTTGACGTCGAACTAACCTTGATGACCTTTACGCTATCATATATATAATTTGCCACATGGGCATTACCCATAATAAATAGAATAAAACACCCATAATGTAATACAAAATATACAATGAACTTTCAATTCAGTTAATCTAAACGTGTCCTCCATTTATTGTAGAAGGATTAACAGGTTTGACAGAAGCAGTGGAGGCCTATTCCCCAAATGCCACACCATAGGTTCAAAATAATCGTATTCAAACTGAGCTTCTCTTTCAAGGATATCTTTCTCCATGTCAAAGGAATACTAACTTAACCCCCACAAATTTTCGCCAAAGTGATGGCTCCTTAATACACCATAATAATTCCTCCTTAATAATAATGTGATCTGCTGCCCACACCAAAAGGGTCGTAATCTGTCGAAGGACTGTTCGCTCATTATAAAAAAAATTGCAGAGTGAATTTTTTTAATTGGGACGTTGGTTGGCAACACCAATTGCATGTATGTAACCTGAGTGATGTCGTCGTCACTAACAAAAATGTACGAGTAAGATATGACCCAATCAGTGTATAAAGTTCTAAAAGTGAATTGCGTTACTCGTTTCGTTCGCATACCTTTCTCGTTACATAACGATAAGTCACGATAGTGATGGGAGCTGGCCATTTAAAGGAGCAAATGCAAATAACGGGTGTGGTGGCAACACCAGTCGTGGGACTCAAAACGTCACGTATTTATATAATGCTAATGAGACGAAAAATAAAAACATTGTGTTGTAGAATAGCTAACATAAGTCCACCTAAAAAATCTACATTAGTCCACTGACGTTAACCTTCTTCGTCGTTTCGTGGGCACAATATCTAGAAGAGCTCAGTGTTGGACATATTTGGCCAAGCGTTCTTCTTGGTCTAAACTGTGCTCTAATGATTACTTCGTGTATCGCGATCGCATTCTTACCATATTAATAGTTCGACACTAACGTTTCCATTTCTGTGCCCGTAGTAACTGCAACACTTTGAGGTCTGGCTAGCTCAATAGGCTTTTTGCCAATATCGATAGTATTGATGCCGATGATTTAAGCGATCAAAAGCGATATCACTTATGTGTTGGAGAGGAGCTGTGCAGCTCTTGATAACTGACTGCTTCGGAGAGAAGAGGAAAATATCCTTCCTCCTTAATATATTCGTGGCTTCCTGAATACGTTATATAATTGTTAAACAGTGGCGCATTGAAAAAAGTAGACACTGACAAATGACAAAGTGCTAGACAAAGTTCTACGGTGTGACTAATAGAAACAACACACAATATTTGATTTCAGTCATTCTCGTATAAACCAGACAAAGAAATATTTTTTTACTGATTTTTCTGGATATCATTCCCGCTCATGTTAATTAGTCACCATTAATTGACACCAGGTTCGTTCATCACCCAGATTCCGACATTATCAGATTTTCTTTAACACCAAAATTGCTCTTGCGGATAAATATCAATTTCTTTCAGTAATATCCAATGAGGCAAAGATACAACTATATATATTGAAAAGTGTAGGCAAATAACGCCTCTAAACGAATTTTTTTAATGTAATAAAAAAAAAACGTCAGAATTCTACGTAATGTGAAATACGTTTGCTGATGGTCACTGGTAAATCTAAAATACCATTTATTTTCACCGGCCAGCCACCCCAACTATTATTATATTCATTCTAATCTTTGATATACGAACAAAAAAGGGAAAAACATTTTCTGTTTTTTGGCCCATACGATTTTACCTGCCGCTACTGAATAACTGCGCATGGCCTCATTAATTAGTTAGACATTTGGCCAGAAATTCAAATTATTTAAGTGAAACACGGAAATTAAACCATAATATAGCCACAGATGTAGAGTGACGGTATTATTAATAGCAGGAGGAGGGAAATCATCAATATGTGTTGTTAATAGTCCTCCAGCCATTCCGACAAGCCAGCACTGGTTTCCATTTAATCCTGACAATACTTGCTTACCGTTGTGCTTGTTGTACATGCTGTGCACATAGACGTGTTTTGCTTCTCCTCTGAATGTGAACCTGCAAACCAATTTTTACATTATCTCCCGTGTCCGCCATGTCCTCCACGGGAGAAGCGAACAGCAAAACGGCTAGATTCGCTGGCGTGGAGAAGATCAATGGAAAACCGAGAATCATAATCTAAAAATAATGATAATACTAGCCAAACTAGCTTTATGTAGCTCAATGTATTGTGTGTTTGTGATTGGAACTATTTGTGTTTATACGAGTTGTCACTTGTGGACCGTGTGATATTATTGTAGTTGCGTCGTATAGTGATAGGAGACATAGTAGAATTTGGTTCGTCGTTCTCCTAATCAATCCGTCTGTTATTGACAACAGACTACGGGAAAAATTGTGTACGCAAGAGTGTGTGTATGTCTACCAGTAGAATCACCAATTGACGGATATTCTACATTACTGTGCGTACTTCTCATGCTCAAAGGTAGTATTTAATCAGGACCTTCTAAGGATTTTCAACTTTCGTCTCTAGTAGTTAACTGACCAATTTAGTGGAAAGACCTGACGCACATTTATTGTTAGAGGTAAGTAGCCAATTGTAATCCAAGACTTATTTTACTCTTAATCGCTGACCACTTTCTAAAACGTGGGGACCAAAACGTGGTTACTATCATTATAATCAATAATCATTAACTTGACACATGTTGAACTTTATTGAATAAAGTTATAAATAAAAAATAAAGAAATGTTACGATTTAGGTGATGAAATTGTGTTTCAGTGTTTCTGTTGCAACAATCGTTTTTGTATTTGTTGTCTCGATAAGTTACAGTCGCTTGATCAAACATTAGAACCGCGTCACTGTTGTCAGCCGGTCTATATTTAAGTAAATAGCCCCATGCAGGTATAACATATGCCCACCTTTACCTAGTAACAGTCGACTCTAAGAACTCATGCCAATCCAATCTTATTAAAAAAATATCTTTAGTACGTGGAAACCGTGTGGCGCTGGTCACTACATAGTGCTGCTCGAAGCGATTTTCAAGGTTCAGGTAACGCTGGCTTCTTCTATTGCCGCTGCTGCTATTTAAGGTGCAACATGTCATTGAAGCAAGCGCGTGCATTACAGTGCACACCACGTAGTTCTCGGAGTTCGGAACTGGGCGAATTTAGTTTTGTGCCAGAAGCCATGCAAAGCCTAACGGCAATATCGGATGTAGAACATGAAAAATTCAAGCAGTGGCAGCACCGCTATTTGAACATTCGAGACTTCACTCATTCGAATATGTTACCGAAATTGTGCCATAGACTCTAATGCTGAACTTTATTATCCTTAATAAGCCAGTCGAGTAACAACGACCACTGAATTCAGACGTTTTATACCAATTATTTCACAACGGGACCCCCGAATCAACGATATCTGGCTATTATTTAGACTAATCTAAAACTTAGCTATTAAATCTAAATTGATTTAGAACATACTTTATTCACAGATGTTCGTGCAACTACTAGGTGCAGCTACTGCATACGTAGCCAAAAAATCAAAAGCTTTACGATTCGTCATAATTAATTGTGGCGCGAAAATTTAAAATAGTGAGGAAGGGTGAAGCACTTTATTTATTTACGCTAAAAGAAGCATTTTTAGGCTGATAAAAATTTGGGAGAAGTCGATTTTGTCTATTCTGAGGTATCAACAATGCAACATGAACGACGTTCGACAACGTATAGCCCTACACGGAGCCGAAAAAGTACACGACAGAGCGTTGAAGTAAAGAATTCTAATCAAGTGATTATTAAGCAGAGACAAAAGCGGAGTTTACGGAAATATCCGATAGAGTATGATAAAAGCGTAATGAAAAGAGAAAAAGCAGGAACAATTCTAGAGATCGCACATTGGCCATCTATTATTTTATAACAAATGCTTTATTTCACAGTTTTGGCGAACCCTCAAACCGCCACACATAAAATGATTGTATACATTGCAAGACTTGCAGAAAATGTGACGTTCATTTGGTACTTCGAAAAATAACAAAGTTGTGGCATACAAATATTTTCGGCGCCTTTCTATTATAACTGACGGGTGACTACTCAGTACAATATAAGTTTACTTTAAAGCATGATTTTCCACTTTGGTGATTAAAAACTCTATACATCTACATTTTTTCGTGCGCTACCAGGGACCGCCCAGTAAAATGTGTACTCTTGTCGGATCCAACTATATTGTTCCGACTGAATCAAAATTCAGCACATAAGCTGTTAATCTCTTGGCTGGAGACTTACGTATATTTTCGTACCAAGTTGAAACTTCTCAGCAACACACTTCCACAAGAGGGCTATAATGCGTAACCTATTTGCAATGTACTTAATTTTTTGCAAATAGATTACGCATAGAAAAAGGTCCTACCATTCGTCAAATGAATAAAGCTGTAGTATGCTGCACAAACGTGTCAGTCTGGTCATCAGGCTCTAACGGACGTGTTCCACTTTCAAAATTTTTATTCTTACACCTAATCGTCTTTGTAAAATTTCAGGATACAACAAAAACTAAGGATGGCTGGTTCAAACGGAACAGAGGTTCAAGAAACGCCACTTCAAGAGGTCGGGTTTTTTTTTTTTACTATGTAGTAATCCATGTTCCCGTTTATCTGAATATAACAAAGCCATATGCATAATCAGAATCCTATCTAGAACTGTAAGGTACGAAACTATATACCGTTTTAAGTAGAACTTTTCTGACAACGACGAGTACAACGATCTTTTAAATCACGAACTGTTATGAGGATATGCGCGACCTCCGAAGTCTCTTGGCATGCCGCCAAGTAAGTAGCATTTGTAGGCAAGCTCTAAATGAAAGTACGTATGCAAAGAGATACGGTAGGCCAATGCCATGCAAGATATTCTATTCAGCTCATATTAAATACAGACACAGAGAGTCATGCACGATTTTACATGACTGAACAAAAAGCATATAATCAAATATCCTGGAACTGCGTACAGATATACCGCACTTAGCGTACCAGGTAAAATACATCAGAATTGAAACCTAAAAGATGAAAACACACGTAAGAACTGAGGCACGTAAGGCACACTTAAATATTCGCTGACGCGTATCCCAATTTTGAGAAGTCGTTTATTCGCCTTATTGGACAATATTATTGCTTGGACCACACTGAACATGTTCCTAGAAATGTTTAAACACGGACCTCTTTTTCCAAATTAGTCTTTCCAGGCAGATACAAATCGAAACTGCAATTATTTGCACAAAACAGCTGTAAGATAACGTAGTAATTTTCAAGAATTTCTCATTGCGTTAAGAGCGTAAGTGGCGCCACCTTGTTAGGGCCTTTGTCTTGTTATTTCAGATTTGTAGTGGCCAGCTCGTTCTTAATTAGAATAGGCGAAACCATTGACAGCAAATATAAAGAAAGGATCAATACTAGATTGTTTTCATCTAGGCCAAAGATTACTCACATAATTAACCTATTACTAAAAAAGCTGTCGAAGAGAACAAAATTTGTTTCGCGAGGCTGAAGCTGAGCCATTCCAAGTTCTGAATGATTATGAATCTCTCGGTTTGTTTATCGAATTGCACTGAGGGGATGCATTTCTGTTATCTGTGGCGGAGCTTTCCAGTCGTTAAAGATGCCTGTCTTACGTCAGTCGATCGAAGATTCAGTTGAAGGTGTCTGTAAATTGTATAACATCATTTTTGTGAGTACGTTCAGGTCTTTTATGACAGTAATTCTCTCCTGATATGCAAGTATACTTTGGGGCCCACTGTTTACACGCTGTTACAAACTGACAGAGATAACGAGGTAAATACGAGGACAACTATGCTTACGATAAGAAAGCCAGAAAGATCCCCAGTGTAAGCAAGTGGTCCGTAAAATTGAACACATTACGATATGTTTTGCCGAAATGGCCGTAATACAATAGTATTTGCACCCTCACCCACATCCTGCACGTTGAACACTCGGGTACTACAATTACCCGATAATGACCCAAGTGGCTCTATTCAAGGCTGTACTTATTGTGCATTAGATCAAGTTAGCGACACCATTCGTTTGCGAAGCGTTGCTTTTAGCGGGTCTGTGACGGGTCAGCTGGCGGCGACGGCTGTGCTGATGATGATTGCAACAGCGGCTAAAGTCAACAGCGATGCTCAAAGGGGGCTGTAATAATTTCTTGGAGAAATTAAGACACGTTACTATTACTGATACTATCAAATTATAGCATTGGGGTCGTTGCTTCCTTCTATTTTCTCTTTTATACATATTATAGTAATCCGTATTCAAATGACAGTATCGCCCGGCTAAGTAAGATTAAACAGCTTGCGAGTAATACCCATAAAAAGCCTTTTGCAACCCCAGATGAGAGCTTTGAATACTGTATAGTGCATCTTCGATGTACATGCTTTCTAAAAATGCACTCGTTGCATATTCGTGCCATAGGTGAGTTTAATAGTGGACACATCGTCTCCAGCTACAATAATCAAAGGAGTACGAGAATTGACTGCTCACGCCAAACCCCAATGGAGCCATGAAAAGGTACTATGAATGGCTAATGAATTATCCAATGTAGGTTATTCATATGCTGTTCAGTTATAAATAGTACTGGCTTACTCGCAATTTTTTAAACTAGGCAGTTCTGCATGAAGCCTTACCGTCCTTTTAAAAAAATTTCTAGCCCTCTCAGTACCACTTAGATAGTTTGCTTCGACATCAGACGTAGCGGATTTAGTTGGCTTTGTCGGCTAAATTGACTCTGATTTTTTGCTTCTCATTCGCAACTCTATGAAAAGTAAGAGGCTCATTCATTATTTAATAATTTTTATAAGTTATAATTTTATCGTAATGCGATCAACTTTGTTCATTATGAAAGGCGTCTGGATTATATTAGAAAGCACTTTGTACTTTTCGGAAGGGTAGATGATCTTAAAAATACGGCACACAATTTAACCACTGTTTTTTCGCTTGTGTCCGTTTTATTCCTTTGTTATCTGTAGCTTATCGTTAAAACCCTTACGGGTGGAACAACGAATATCCTCCTGAGCTGCGATGACCCCTCTACAAACGAACGGATACTCGTTCGAATCTATGGGTCCAAAACGGAACTGTTTATTGATCGAGGCGCTGAGGTATAACCATTACTGGAAGATACGATTTTATACTTAAGCAAATATTGCATATAAGGATCATTCGAACACCCTGGCTAGGAAAAATATTATGCTAAAAAAATAGGGCGATAAGATACAAGTCTGAAACCGTCGCTTTTCGTAGGCATATACTATTTTCGTACAACATATGTACACATATACAGAATAACGCGCATGATCGTGCTAATGGTCTCTTTTGAAAACGCGTTAAGACCCACGCTTAGTTTTCATATTCCTGTTTGAAGAAACTTTTTTTGTTGGACATTCCGTCTTTTTTGAAGAAAGGACGATTATTTGTAAGGCATTTTTACGATGCATTGCTTTAGATATTCGCGCTTAAAGTCAAAAATTATAAGTGTCACGTTTTTTCTTTTTGCGTCTTTGATGACTACCAATCGTAACCTATAAACGATCGAGAAGTTCCCTAATTACTGAAGTCTGTTTTAGAGAGATTAAGGTAGGTTTCAGATAACTGCGTGAAACTAGCAAATGTTAAGACGCAGTCTGGTATGTGATGTTTTGGTTCTGGTTTGTTTCCATATACTTCAAAATAAATGGCAGGAAAATTCAACTGTTACGTCGTGTGGATTCGTTAATCTTTGTTTTCACTCATTGATTGATTAATGGATTTGATCTATTACAGGTTCGAAACATGCGTTTACTTCATGCACATGGTCTTGCCCCTAAAGTTTATGTCGCCTTTCGAAATGGCATTTGTTATGGCTACTTAGAGGGAAAGGTAATCCCGCCTGCTTCTATTGAATACGATATGATAAACCTGCTTTGATGTAATCTACTGGGTGTATTATATTTGTCGAATTCTTGTTACTGCCGTTTAGCCATGTTTTAGAAGTAGGATCGAGTCATTGTCGCCAGTCGGTCATCATTTTCATGGACTTTACTTCCTCTAGGTCATATCAACACATAGCAATTGATGAATGATCGTTGTCGTTTGTAACTTCCGGACATGGAATTTAGTGATATTTTTGTATTCGGGGCTTAGCACATATGCTGATTTCGACAGTGCTGTCTGCTGACGCTCGCAGCCTATAGGATACTTTCCCAAATTTGTTTTTCAGACATGCGATGTTCATCATGCTTTTCTCGTCAGCACAAGCCAACCCATAAGAAACAATAAAAACTGTTGCGACTTTTTCGAGATAACCCCTAACAGATATTAATATATATTAGACTGTTATAGATGAATCCGGTAAACTTTGTAGTTGACTGATTTTTAAACTAGTTGGGTTAAAAAGATGACTTTTTAATTGGCAGAGGTACTATAAAACCTTTATTACGTATTTGTTCCAGTGCTCTGGCAGCTTCTTAATCACACCTACCATTCGCGCTTTCATATGTACTTTCTTTACTTATGGATTTCGAAGTAAATGGATAGTAGGATATGATTGCCTTAAAATCACACGAACTTGGCAGAACAAGTGGGCTAAAACCAACGCTAGGATCTTTTCTTCCTCAATCCAAGAATTTATTGAGGCATGGCGATGAGGTCTGGCATCTCATCAAGTAACTAGAATACGTGTTTTCGGTTGCCGTACCAACGGCCTCAAGATAGTGCCGTCAATCATTGTTTGACGTTCGGCAGATATTTCGTAATGGCAGATGTTCCTAATGACTACTGCAAGTATTGACATCTCTTTAACCGCCCGAACCTACTGCCATCGAACATGATTGCCCTTCAAGGCGGCGCCATTTAGCCGCTGTCGTGTGGTTTCTCACCAGCTGATGGTAAAGACTGAACCACGTTTTGCATAGAGTTTTTCGTTAATTAAAAATTTGCAAATTGCGCGTAAATAGAAGATGCGCGTCTCCAATTGATGTGAAGTCTTCAGTCTAGTTTCCGCATCTTCAGTATTTGGGTCATATGTACCATGTTACATGTGAAGTACTAGTTTTTGCCGACAGAGCCTTACCAAGCCAGCTCTAGTGAAAAACCTTTTTGACTGCAATATTTTATGACTCCTGTCCAGCTTTGAAGCGTTTACGTTATTCACGTACTATGCTTCCGCCCGCATAAGGTGGATTAATGCGTTACCGATTTTTTATGAATCTCCGCAGTGCTGTGACCTTCGAGGAACAAAAACTTAATCACTGGGCGTTAATTTTCGAAATGTCTTTTTTAAACTCACTTAACTGAATTAGGTATTAGTTTTTTCTCGCAAGTTGCTAGAGGTCTGGAATATTTACCAGCCAAATTTCATCTCTGAGCGGCGGGCAGTTCAAAAGTTATTGACTGAATGTCCGGTGTATTTGCTTGTAACAGCCATATATATATATATATATATATGTGGGTGAAGTTTGACCCCCGTAGTGTACAATAATTTTATGTACTTTGTATAGGGTCAACTGTTGCTGTATATGATGCGCCGTTATATTTGGATATCAAGCTTACTCTGTTATACGTATAAGCTAAAATATGGATAGTAGCATTTGTGATCGAAGTTAATAACACGCTTTTTTTATTAGGTCTTGGATGTAGACAAGGTGATCCAACCAGATATCACAGCGACAATCGCGCGGCAAATGGCCAAAATGCATGCAATTCCCATCGACCCACAGGCAAAGGTCGGCTACGTCATCTATTATTATTATTGATGATTATTGTGCGTGCATGTATAATTATTTTTTGAAAGTTCGAATAATTATATCGAAGCAAAACTATATTGTACTATCTGCATAAGAGAAAACTACGACCACAGAACCAATTTACACTTACGTCGTGCTGTAACACATGTTATATGTTCCGAGCTTTTTTGGATTTTTTTCTACATTGCTACTGCTCGTTTAAATTTCAGGCTAAGATCATTCCCATGCTGGAACACTATCTCAGTCTTGTGCCCGCGGATATTTTAGCGGCAACAGAAAAAAAACTTGAATCCGAGTTCGGTAAAGAAAAGGTTCACGTGGCAGAAGAGATAAAACGGTTGAAAGAGGTAGATTTAGAAAATTCTTTTTTATCAAATCTATTGTTAAAGTAGATTTGGAATATTTGCAACAACCAAATAAATGCATAATATGGCTAGCGAATTGTTGTTCACAAATTTAGAGAATCTGAAATGTATGAAATTTAAAAAATGAATTTAGGAACTGATATGATCGTACATTTTTCTTCTGCAGGTGTATGAATCACTTGATCAAACAGTTGTCTTCTGTCACAATGACCTTTTGTCAAAAAACATTCTTCTGGACGGCGACCGAATACACTTCATTGACTATGAATACGCATCCGCCAATTATCAAGGATTCGATATCGGTATGCTCGCGTTATAAAAATTTTAATGAGATTTGTCACGAGATCTTCGTGAAAAAGTAATCTGGCTCCTTGAAGACTTCCAACAGTTTGTTTACCAGCAGATACTGCGCGTACATTTGATTTGTTGTTCATATTGGCTTTGTAACACATTGTGTGGTGGAGTTTCGTATTTTGGTTCCAAATGAAAAACCACAGAGATCTTTATGAAGTGTCATGGATTTATTTTGTGCCATCATGTGCCATATGGATATAAAATCTTACTCACTATTTCCAAAGACCAACCTTTCTCTGAAAAGCCGAGGTTAATATTTTAGGCATGTGTTAACATGTCAAGAAAATTACGCTATGGGGTAAATATACAAAAATTCCTTTATTCACGCATCGTGATATCCGTTTCGTTACTGTATAATACTTGTCAGTTTAAATCCAAAAGTAAATCCAAAGTGTGCCTGACTCGGTGTGAAAGGTGTTCGATTAATGTGAAAATAATGTATGCATATTTGTTTCTGCTTCGTTGTCCGTAGGAAACTTCTTTACCGAATTCGGTGGACAGGAGGGCTATGACAGAAAGCGGTATCCTACACGCGAATGGCAGCTCCCGTGGATACAACAATATCTAGAGTACTACCGTTCTTTTAAAGGTAGCCAATGATAACCGGTTGAACAAAAGCAAAGAATAGAATTGAAAAGAATTTAAGTAGTAGCAACAATAAAGTATTTGAACATATGTTTTGAACAGCGATATGGCCAATACTCCATTAGGTTTTTACATCAAAGATTGCATCAAAATTAGTACGAGGATACTTTAAGACCTTTTTAAAAATGTAGAGGTATACGGCGCGGTGGCCGATTTCTTTGCTTATATTTTATCAATTGTATTAATGCTAATTGATGAAGATTTTTCATTTTATGTAATAATTTTGCTAATACATTATGATAAGAGCCAGAAAAATCTTGATGAATAGTAATTCTTTGCAAAATTACAACAAATGAATTTGTTTTACTATCCCACCACGATTTTATTTGAGCAATCGATTTACCTTAGTTGTGTAGGCTTCGAAAAACTGAAAATTACGTGGAACGTAACAAAAAATGTATGAATAGACTCATTTCATAATTGTTGGTTACACTCCTTAACGGACTATACATCATAGTCTATAAAAAAAAAGTGACTAGCATAAAAAAAATGTCACCAGTCTCCAACGACCAGACCTTTGAATAAAACTCAATGAGGTATCAGCTGATACAAAAATTATACAGTTTTCGTTTTGGGGACAATATAAGAATGACCAAAAGCGAAATAAAAGTTCATACAAGTAAACAGCCTAAATACTATATGGTAGATACATTGAGAGCATTACCCGCTCTCTAAGGCTCTTATCCATGTTTTGAGAATATTAGAGAGTTCAGATGACTATAAAGCACTTTCCAGCAAGGGAAAATTCTGAGCTTAATTTCCCAACTATGCCTTTGTTCTTCTTAAGCTAAGCAAGGCCTTATGTCAAGAAATAGGAATATACGTTGTTTGCTTCTCAAAATTCGGTTACGGATAACACTGAATATGTTTGGCGTACTGCAATAACGTGAGCTCGTGCCAGCAAGGAGAATGTTATTTACTCGGTTCTCCTAGATGCTTTTACGCTGGTTGACAGCTCAATGCGCGTCTAACAACGCGAGCGATATATCTGATCGACAAAACATTATTACACTCCCAGCCCATAACATATTCGAAATAGTCCTACTGCAGCAGCTAGGCGTGAAGCCGAACTATTTGTCCTACAAGCTTTCAGCTTTTCTCCGCACGTAATGTTTTGGAGAAATTCTAGGTTAAATATAACGACATGACTTGTCAACCTGCTAGAGCTTCGGTAAACCTGAGTTTATTCGTTGTCAGAAGCTATCTGAATACGTCTTGTCTGAACCTGGTGTTTATGTTACAGGAGTTAACGAGCATTCATTTGTGTAAATCGTAGAAAATATTTAGGATAATTAATATTGTATTGTCAATACATTTTGTCAATACATTCAATTTTAAATGCATTTTTTCTTATCTGTCTGTGTATCTCAATTGACTGATTTCTAGGCCGAAAGCCTCCAACGACTGCTGACGTTGACCAATTGTACGTGTTCGTGAACAAATGCGCTTTATCGTCCGCCATTCTCTGGGGTCTATGGGCCCTTATACAGGAGGCACATTCAACTATTAACTTTGATTTTAATCGATTCGCTATGGACCGATTGGGAATGTACTTTGCTAAACGTGACGAGTTTCTTAGTTTGTAGATATAAAGCATATTTGTAAAATTGTTACCCAAGAAGGCAAAGTAATTCGCCAGCGCCGCCAAGAAAAATGTTAAAAAACGGAGGTAAACAAAATGAAAATAGAATTTATGATGACATATGTATTAAACAGGAAGATCATTTTTAGAATCGTGCGCTGAGTGAATAAACGTAAGAATAAACGTTTCATTTACTATCGATTTAATATGCCGCAGCATACTAGCGCGTGGCTTTTTAAAAACCAATATATAATATTTGCTTTGAGATTAATATGGAGAGGCCCATATCCAATTGTTATGACTCGATCTTAAAATATTTCTCGGAAAAACCAACTACGTACCTTTAACTGCGTTGGATGTTATCTGTTGTAGGCGCAGCACAGATAAGTTTTTCAGAAACCAAACTTTCAACCCACTTATACAAGAATCTTGAACAACAAACAGCTTTTAGCTGACATATCGGCCATTTTACTCCGCTCTGTCACTTATAGCATCGTCGGTGTTAAATCGCCGTATGCCAATGTAACATATATAGAAAACGTGATAAGTACTACAACAAGTTGTCTACGATAGTCCTTGAGAAAAAAGCGCATAAACAGTTGTATGTACTCACTGCAGCGGGCACTGCGGCCCTGAGATAGATAGAAGTGCTAAATTTTCTGCATATTACCACTAACTTAGTTATTCCCTTAATATTCCAGTACTAAGAAGCGACTAAATGGTGCCTTCGGAACTAATAAATAGAAAACGAGGTCGAGCATGGACGCTTACGTTTTTCTTGGCTCTAAATATTCTTGACTGCAACGATTTCCCAAAGAGAATTAACAAGCAATATGTAGACATTGCAGCTGAAGCCTCATTAGATTATTATTTCAAATAAGCAATAGTTATTAAGGTCCTCCTAAGGTGAAACAGGGAACTGTGTCTTCAATCGAAGTCCGACTATAACTTAGTGGATTAACATCTAACTACCAAATCCCTCTATTTTATCATTGATAATAGTTGCATCTTCCATTTATATTTAAATGCACATATACATGTGTGTATATGTATATATATACATATGTAGATATATACATATATATATATATATACATATATATGTGTATATATATATAGAATAGGTAATATTGTTCCGGTTAAAAGCCCGTCATAGCCCTTGAACTAACTGTAAACAAATCCCGCTCTTCTGCTCTACGCAGTTCCCCGAGTTCCACCTCAAAACTGTTGTATCTTTTTCTTTTCTATAAAAATAAAGTGCGAACAACGACCACCGCTACATGGTGTGAGTAACAACAACAGTAACTACCACAGCGCTGCTATTGGTATGACATTAACAGTATCTTGGATATCAAAAATTATGTCTAACAATAAAACCACAGACTGGGTTTGACGAGTTCTCATATAATAACTAAGCGTTTTCATTGAATGAATAAGGTATGTTATCTTCAAATAAGAAACCTAGTCTTATCATGAAACGCATCATACAATAGTCTTGACTCAAAATTAACTGAAAATGCCATTGTACTATTACAAAGTGGTTACCCTCTCGATTGCTGGAACTGCGATTAGCTTTATTGCCGCCTATGCCTAAAATCGAGCCACAGCAAAAACCTTTTATGTCAGGGTTTCCAAAAAACCATATATACGCAAAACTAAACTTAGGTATTATTGGCTAAATTAAATTCAAAGACTCAATTTGCGTACAACATTTCCAGCAACTACAAAATATATTTTCTATTGCAGAGAGCGTAAATAAGCACCACAATGGCCCAAATTGAAGGAACGTGTTACAGTACGATAACATTAAAACCGTTTTAACCACATGTATCGGTTAAAATATAATTACAAGGATAAGCGCACCACTGTTGCAGCTTGCGCGGCGCTGAAAAGCCGACGCTGCCGTTGTCGTTCATTTGGCCATTGAACGTTGCGAAGGCAGATGGCTAATCGCACGTTGAGCTGCAACATTGTGAAACTGGCAGTAAGGCGACAACGCCGAATATGCCGGAGAAACCAATAACCATAATGTAATAAGGCGCCTAACAGCAATGGCGATAACAACAGCACCAAGCATCAACAAAAAGGAAACTAGTTTATTTATTTTTAAATTTTTTAACCTTTTAATTTATTATTCTCTTTATTGTACTGAGTGTTGACTATAGTGGTACCTTGAAGCGCCGAGTCTTTGATGATATTAAGGAATTCCTTGGTAGCATCTTTGCGTACCATGTTGCCCACACTGTCACAAGAAACCGCCGTGTTGTATTTATATATATAACACCCACACCTATCTGTGAACAAATAAAGCTTAAACAGCCGCCTGGCCTTGTGTATAGGCAGTTCGTCGAAAATTCGCCCTCGCCTCACTGAGACACTGTTGGAGAAAAATCAAGAGTTAGTTGGGTGATAAGAACGACCAGCTGCACAATCTCTTCTTCTCTTGTGTTTGCACAACACTTTTAACTTTCAGCCCAGAGCTAAGGCAAATTGGTACCAAATAATAGCCACGGGCTCCCTGTGCGAGCAGAGAGGCAGGTTTAATATATTCCGAGCGGCAATCAGCTGTTGACAGCTAGGGCTCGCATGGGTGCCGCCATTTTGGATTAGCGGGATTTTGTCCTCCTTCTCAAAAAAAATCAAGATGGCGCCGGTACTTTTCCTCAGTTTTCATGTTTCTAGCCATATTTCTAATTGTCTTGTATTTTTCCTGGATGCATCTCGCCTGTACAAATATCAGGCATGTAATTTTACGAATTTCTCGTAAAAACTGAAAGCAACAGCCCATCTCAAAAAGTGATTTACTTCGATCGCCCGCACCCCTGTCACCATGGCAACCGTGGCGTGTATGAAGCACAGATCATTAATGATGAAATTTGTGTTCTTCGATTCTTCTCTTATCGCCCGTGCGGTGAAAATTCTTGTGCGATTTGAGGTGGATCAGTGTCTCCAGTGAAGTGCGTTCGACGTGCTCGGGTGCCGGGACACCTTTGAGCATCGGACAAGCGGTGCGACACAGTGGCTAATAATGTCAGGCATGATGGAGGGAACGGAACTCCGGGTAAGGACGGTTGCTCTGAGTTAGGCTTAGGGAAGTAGACAGCTGAAATTTTGCACACCTCTCTCATGAGCTGGCCAGGTCTTATTCGGAACAAGTGTGAAGCTTCACAGAGGGCTTCTGCCGTCAATACGATAGCTCTTACTATTCGTTGTATTGGTCGTACGTCTATCGGTGACAAATAGAAAGCTAAGCTGAATAACGCATGAAGGCTGCATTTTTAAAAAATATTCCAGTCGCATTTTTAACGGCACTGTTGCTATTCCGGTATACTGTGATTTATGCTGCTTTTTTGATAAAAAGGCTATTTTTCACGAACGCTTTTTCTTTTTTCTAACTGGAAAATAAATATGTGAATTTGGTGTCGTTATCCTAAGGCGGATGGTCGAGAATAGAGGAAATAGACAAATATCGATTACGATAATTACCTGTCGCTTTCTTTTAATTTTCTGCTGCATGCTCTCTCAAAGTCAAGGCTTAATACACGTATTTAGGCCTAACAATGAAAAGGCTTAGAAAAGGTGACTCGAAAAAAAAAAACAGACAAAAAACTATCAGTATCCGCCTCATGCGCCATCACATATATCTTGAAGCTTGAGTAAACGTAATGTCCTTGTGTTCTTCCTATGTTTAGAATAGAATTAGATAAATGTCAGTGGCTTGTGAAATTAATTTTTATATTACTCTCAGTTTGTACGAGTTCTAGTCCATCCAGTTCTCTAATACTGAGTGTTGAATGTACCATGGGGTATATACATTTGTCACTCCGCGCCATTTCAACAACAAAGAAAAACATCGAGCCAATTTTACTTTTGAAGGGGATTTGGTTAAAACTGGTCTCTGGAAATGCATATCCCAGTTGTCATTGATTATCTGTTTTAGAGATGTATATTATGCTGATCAATAGATCAACTATTATAATGGGTAGATTTTCTATAAAATTTATCTTGTTGTCATTCTGGCTGACTGAGACAATTAGTAATAAGCTTAACCTTGTAGCATGGCAGTTACTGGCCTTACTGTTGTTAATCGCCTTAACTACTGAAATCATAATCATAACCGTACGATCGTTCATTGCAGAGCTTCTTCTCGTAGATCGATAGTTTTTGTAAATACACGTCTACCATATCATTTATTTACAGATAGTCATTTAATGTAGTAGAATTCTTAGAAATGCCTATGCGACGAACTTAGTAAAAATGGCTTTTGACAAGATTGCTGGTTTTCATCTTATTTACGATATCCCAATAGCTGCCAATGTGCTTATTCGTAAAACATGTAAAATGACAGACATTGTTAGGTCGATATTGCTGTTAGCGGTACGCGTGCTATATTAAATCATTTGTCGGTTGAGCGGTTTAAGAAGATAGCTGCTAAAGTACACTTTATATGAAAATGTATGATTTGTTTGACAGACACTGGGTGAGCTAAAAACCTGTTTGAATCCAAAAGCCGTACTAGAGTTTTTAGTAGGACATTTTCTTTTGAGGGAAGTTATGGAAAAATATTTTTACGGTTCATCCCGGAACATTTATTTATAGTTCCTCGACGACGAAAATTAAAATCGAGACCAGATTTTCTTTTAATACATTGTCCAATGAATGCCGTTTCACTCGCGAATCGTGACAGCTGACAAAGTTTGTAGACGGTTTTTGGGCTTGACAATAAAAGCTCTCCTAAAACGCTCCGTAAACATACGTAATTATGAGACTGACCGACTTGCACAATTCGTTATGGTTATCTGTGACATTAAAGGGTAGTAGATGAAAAAGGCGTATTCGCGTGAATTCTAGTTTAAAGCTACTATTTAATTTAGTAGATGAAAAATTTATCAATAAGCAGGTTTGGGAAGATACAATCAAGCTTACACACATTAAGCCCTTGCAACTTATCGCAGTTTTGTTACAGGTAACTACGGCACATCATTCTATAGTAATTTTTTTTTTCTATTAAAGAAGCAGAATTGTTTCTGACTATAAACGTTGTTGAAAGCAAGACATAATTGAAACACCGAGAGTTTATTAATTGTAGCTAGCAGTCTTACTTGCACTGACGATTGTTTTTTAAAAAATTCTCTAGGTAATACAGTATCGCAGGGACTATGACATAAGCTCATTTATTTTGGGTTACTGAATGCAGAAAAAAACACAGATAGACATTAAAAACAACGGAATGTTCCACAAGATTTAATTGGGAGCTTTTTTTTTATTCTCCCACGGAGAAGCCTGTGAATATTATTTTATTGGTTATTTAGAACTACAATTGGTAACCAGCTTATCTATGGCTATAGGTAACTATTGCTATATTCATGATATATGTATTAACACATGATAAAGGCACTGCCGATCTGCTAAACGGCGAGGAGTTTGGTAAAGGTGGTAAAAACAAGATATTTTAGAGGGTTTTAGGTAAACTAGTTCCAAATATCACATATAGACTAAGGTTTACTTGTATAATGGGTAGTATTACAAAAACAAACATTTGGTACAGACTAATGTAAAGTTTTTTACAATTTTTTTTATTGTACTTTATTAAACAAAGTAATATAAAAATTTATATTATTTTGTTTAACAACTTCCTTACTTGATGGAGTTTTGCCATGAAATGACTACTTTAGCTTAGCTCTATAAGAACCGTAGTTAATTGGTACTTAATGATTGTAGGGCTGATAGGTCAAAGTGAAAGTCAACAAATTAGTTATTTTCTTATATGATTCGACCATATGTTCGTATAAGTGTTAAAGCTGTGTGTCGAAGTTAAGCACACGCTATGACAACCAGATCATCACAGAAATAATAGCTGCGATACTACTTGATTCCTTCGCACTATTATCGCATAGCGTGTAGGCAGGGAAAGATACTGACTCTTATCTTAATAAAGTATAAATATGTTTATCGTAAAAATTTTACTGCGCGCAGTTGTATCAAAGTTACTTTATTTACCTAATTTATTTATTTAGATTCTAGATTCAGGACAACAACTTTTGCATTAAGTGAAATATGGGGCAAAAAATAAACGGTTACTAGGAACTTAATCCAAACGGGCTTAATTTCTTACGGATTTTTATTACTATTAAAAATATTCTATAAAAAATAGGGTAGGAAAACTGTAAACAAGATTTAAACAAGATTATTTTCGTTTTTTAGCCACTGGCACTTAACTCGCGTTGCGTAAATTCACCCACTTAATTAGTTGTCTGCCCCTATTTAAAAGCTCGTATAGTATGTATATAAAAAATGTGTAAAGCCTAATACATTGTATGTTGGTTATTTGGTGCACTAAGAGACTGTTATTGCTATAAGTTTTATTGGATATTATAAATCGGCCAAGTAATTCCTTTGAAGTTATTGGCTAGTAATTGACACAAAATAGCATGGCCATGTTTTCGCCCGCGAAGCGGTGCTTAACATATAATAATTCCTTCGTGATTTCTATTCTAGGGGTATAATTTTATTTTTTTTATTTAATTATGTTTGTTGTTTGTCGGCTGTGGCTCTTCGTTTACAGGGCTTTTCTTCCTCGTCGCAAGATGATGCCATCCTCAAGGTTCGGATTTTTGCAAGACCCTAATCTTGATTTCGATGCGTTTTCGTTTGATAATCTGTGTCAGTTTACATTTTATCTACTTAGTCGCCATTTATAGGGCATCGTTATGGATGTCATAGGATTGGCTGTTGTAATAATGTCTAACTCCTTTAGCTACCTTTCTTACGTCTGATGTCGAACTTCTCCTTAGCGGCAGCATGATATCTAGTATTAAGTCTAGCTAACGTATACTAGCTATACAGCAATTAGTATAATGCTTCTTATAAAACTATACATTTCGAGATACAATAGATGAAATAATTGTGCGATATCAAATGTATTGAATAGTGAAATGAATGATTAAAAAATGTGAGGTCATTTCTCAAATAATTATACTAAAGCCATGATGAACTGCACTGACATTAGCGGATGCACTGACTGCCGGATTGAACTAAAACAGAAATTTACAGGCAGTCGTAGGTATTCGGGGTAGAAGGTTCAGCTGAGTTCAGAAAGAACAGGTTAAAATTAAGATTATATCTAGTGCTCGCATTTGTTTCCAACGACGGAGTCGAAGCTGGCTACTTCCGATTTTGAAATATTGCACTATAGCCTGCTTAAATGAAATCACTAAATATCTGCAGGGCAAACATTCGATAGTTTAATACGTATTTAATACGTTTAAATAAGAACCGTTATAATGAGTAGACTGCCTTTCTAATAATCAATGTACTATTCAATATACAGATTTAAGAACGTCGTGTGCACTACATTGTAATGGTTTTTGGTGTCTCGAAGCAATTATTTCATTTGCTAGTGTTTTTGCCTCGTTTCTTTTCAAAAGTAGCATTGTGACTTCGTATCAAAATGCTGGGACATGCCTTGTTCCACCACTGCTGAACTTTGTCGTGGCTAACGCACTCCTATTCTGCCGGCTGCCCTGAACAATTACCAAAAGCTACCAGTATTATTATAGATCATCAACTACTACATAATAAAGGTCAAGGTGGATTAGAACGGTTGTGCAGACTTTCAGCGGACCTATTTCAGTAGAACTTCTCCAGGTTATATTGTTTTTTTTTTATATTTTTTACGGGCACCTATGTTCATAGTGTATCCGCTGTGGGTGATACAATACGCTTTCCTGGTGTGGATTGGATGTCAAGTGCGAATTAAAGCAAAAGCAATTTGTTTAACGCGCAGGCAGCCCATCTACACAATGCTAGATTCCGTGATATGAACTAGAGACTACACTAGACACATTAACGCGACTATAAGGCACATCACGACAAACCTTATCTTGTTAACCGACCGATTATTAGCTGATAGAAGTATACTTTGTTGTGATAGATTATTAATAGCTTCTTCTTAAAAACTGAGCCGGTGAGTAAATGAGATCGCAATTTAGTCACGACCTTAAACCTGGAAAAATTTAAAGCCATATGAGATATACCGAACGTCTTCGTATGAGATCAAGGTGACGATTCTCGAGAAGCAATGACGCGCCTTTTTGTTTTGAAAAGAGAAGTTTTAGTCCAATATATACACGGACAATTTATCTCTATTAGATAATGCATAATATACTCACTAGTTGATAGTACAGGTATTCTTGTGTAACATTTGTGTTATTTAATGTTAACTGACGAACCTTTGGAAAACTTTCTTAGTATCAGAACTAAGATATTTCACAACTAACTCCTTAATGATTTTTTTTTAATCGATTTTTTTTTAACGGGGTATTTCCTTCACAGTTGGTATATTTTGATCCTCTGATATGCTCTAGTGCGATAGAAATAGTCTTTCGGCCACATTATGCGCTTACTACTTCTTATTTTAAGATTTTTACTCTTTCAAGCATATGAAACCACACCTGTAGGTTTTTGTTTTATGGAGGTTTTATAGTGACACTAATTAAACTAACTAGTATTTTAGCGTTGGAATTAGATTATAGATGAAACAGCTTGTTATTTGAGAAAGCCTCTTAAAAGTTGATGTTTTAATATCAAATATAGAGGTACATTCGCTAAGCAATTTTAAAACCTATGGCATAAGATCGTTCTTATACTTTATAAAGGGTTAGATGGCATAATCAGTTGGAATAAGTGTCAGATATACAATTCTATTACTACAGATTTGAGTTGTGTTTATTAGCAGATAATTTCAATTATGTTGCTTCTACAGGTCACCCAGTGTTAGAGTTCTTTTCTCACGCTTATTGTTTTCACAGCTATAGGCCAATGGGACTACAGGTGCGTACGTTATAGTAGTACGATACAAAATAAAGATCCATAGAAAACTTCATGGCTTAGTTTGAAAATTAAGGCAACGTCATGAAAGACCAATATGCGTACACGTTTATTGATCTTGCATAACGCTGCTGTTAACTATAAACTATTATCTACGCAGGAGTGACCACGAGGAGAATAATGTCAGCATTATTAACTCACACGTATGGTTATGGGTGTTTTATTATTACAGAATATGATCCTAAACTTCCGGGTATCAGAACTCCAAGTATTGCTAGGCTTTGCAGGCCGTAATAAAAGTGGGAAGAAGCAGGAACTCCAACAGCGGGCCCTAGAACTCGTTCGAGTTCGATCCACCCCAATCATCTTAAAGATTAAGGTATAGTACACAGGGTGAGCAATGTTTACATTTAGTTAGTCAAAAGTATTTTAAATAAAAGTGTACAAATTCATATTTTGTCGACCAGCTGCTTTTTAGCTGATGTAACTTCATCGCTCTGGATACCTATTTGGCCATATCTAGTGTGGGGTATCTCTGATCTGAGATTTTTAGCTGGTTCTTGTACTTGCTGATTCCACTTAATAATCGCATTCTACACTTCACTTGATGGCAGCAAAGATGTAACTCAAGCCCATCTTCCGGATTTCTTATTTCTCAACCTTAGATGTCTATTGCTGGTGGGGCTCCTAAGGCGATGTTGGTTGACAGCGTACACCATAGTGGTCGTAAGATCTCAGGGAAAGCTTTCACTATAAATCTTGTTGTAATAGCGAACTGTTTGATTTTGTTAAATCATGTTCGCATATATTCTACTTGATTGCATTGTTTTTAGCTCTCAAGTTTCGTGTAACCTCAGCAATTCCTCTGTGATAGCTGCTTTGGACATACGGCGCATCATACGTTTTACAAACCTATACTTTTTGCAAGAATGAACGCATCGTATCGTCTAATAGCGCTGCTTATGCTATCGACTTTATTTTGTGTAAAAAAACTATGGCACTAAAAATGAAATGTTCATCATACACAAGGCACCATAAGGGTGGCAGAATTATGAAATTAATTAAAGTGGAAGAACTTTTTGGTTTTAAAGAAAACAAACTGGGCATGCATCTTCTTACAATTTTTGCCAAGATAGTTAGACATTTGCGGACAATTGTCAGATTTTCATTATTTACTAAGATAGTAAAAATGTAAAAATAACATCGTTAAATATCTTTTTGAGCAAAAGCAGGTCTCTTAAATTAAAAAAAAAATGGCTATGCAGTTGGCCCTTACCTGTGAACAAAGAGTTAATTTGGGCTTTTGCTCCTCTGCCCCTTTTATATATTTACGTGTGCACATATTAACAGGCTTAATCTTCTGGATTGAAAAATATATGAGATATACGTATTGCTTATTGTAGATTTCTATGACCCCTATTTGTCTGCATTCGTTTGCCTCGTCTTCGGTTATCGTAGGATCTTCACCGGCGAAGTCAGGGTCGATATGGTTCTGATATGGAAGTCGCGTCTCAGGCAAGTCAAGCAGCGGCCGCCGCTGCCGCTGCAGCTGCCGCCGCAGCTGCCGCTCAGCAGTCCACGAGCGCGGCAACGCTAAGCGGTCTTGGTGGTCTTGGAAGCGTTGGACGTTCGACGGTTGGAGGTGTAGGCGGTGTTGGAAATGTAACCGGAAGTATCGGCGATTTAAGCGGCGGTGGCGGAAGTGTAGCAGGGGGAGGAGCAGGGGGAGGTGGTGGGGGGGGAGGCTCGCTGTCAACCATTCCGCAATCTCGAATTTGTGCAGTTCCACCGATGAAGCGAGATGATCCGCCGTCACATAACACAGTAAATAACTATCTCCAAAGACAGGGTAAGCAAAGGATCTGAACGGTAAACTGCTTACTTTTGAGTAGAGAAAATATGAATCTGTATGTGGATGAATTCATTATAATAACTGATCTTCATCATCTAAAGTAGGCTAAGATGATTGTGTCGAGAATTGGCTGCAAGCATAGGTAAAGTTTAGAAATGCTTTGCGGCGTTGTTTTGAGAATTATCGAATTCGAAGTAATCGTTTTGGGTAGGCGAGTAAACGGCAGCTAATTTATATCTACTTGAGGCACCTTTGCAGCTTTAGTAGCTGCGAATTTATTGACAAATTTTACGTGGCGTGATATTTGTAAGCATACAATAAGTGTAGGAGTGATGGTCGGAAATGAAGTAAATTCTAACAATGTGATGTTGACTTATTACCTTGCTTGGCGCACCTAGCGGCTGCGTTAAGCGCCGCGGGCTTGTACAATTTTCAGATGGCTCAGCAAGTAGCCTCAACACTAGGACCTTCGGCAAACGTTCAGAGTGCACAACCGCTCAACCAATATCCGATTCATCCAGATGTCAAGTAAGCTACTCAGTCTAGTCAGCTTATTAAGTGGAGACTGTTTATGTGCAGCTTGCTATGCACTATCGCGTATGTAAAAATTACTACCGTAAATGATTCCAGTGCCTACTGTAGACACATTTTGCACTCATTTGTATGTATCTATACCTATATTTATTTTGTACCATCCGCAGTTGATGTGAACAACTGCTACACTATAGAAGATCGGCAGTAGAGTCGATTGGCCAGGACGTTAATTTTTTTGAGCTTCTAGGTTGTAAGGCGTTGCTAAATCGCTCACCCTAGCTCAACAGGATGAAAAGATGCAGTCTCAGAAAACTAGAGACTCCCGAATTTCCTTCTACGCATAACATTTTCTCTCCTTTGTCAGTGAACATAGCTTGAGTGGCATAGCGCATATGTTTAGGTTTAATGGTAAGTGTGTAGAAACTGACGGGAAACATCGAGCTCCGGAAGGATGAATTGTAGGAAATTCCACAGTTCAAGGCAAAGTCCTTCAAATAACCTTTCTTAATTATAATCTTTCTTTCCTACGTTCTTATTAGCAGTCCTGTTCCGCACTATTGCAGTACGAAATGACGATGAATGCAAATGAACGATTTTTGTTTGCCCAGTATTTCATCGTTAAGCAGAATTGAAGTTACTACTAATGCACTGCTAACGTGTTGCTTTCGTGACTGCACGATTACAGGCTAAAGGTTCTTCCTTTCTACGAACAGCTAGCAGAGATTTTGAAGCCGTCTTCACTTCAGCAAAATATTCCGCAAGCGCCTACGCCAGCAGGGCAACAGCAAAACGCACCTCGGCAAAAGGAGGCCGAATTCGCGTTTCATATGACGCCGGCTCAAGTATGGTTCCATATCGTGTCAAGTTCTCTACGTATTATTGATCATTTACCATCTTCTACGATATATATATATATATATATATTACAATAAATCGCTTGCTACAGAGCCCTCTGCTCGGATAATTTATTGGCGCTCATAGTACAAAAGATTACAGTAGCAGTCATATTGCTTACTTGGTTACAGGTTCATTCTCTATTGATGTCAAAAGACTACAAGCCAGGTGAGCCGGCTGTACAGCTTCAGCTACGATTGTGTGCTCTTGATTCAACTGTGCCGCAAGATGACGCCTTCCCACCGGGACTCGTTGTGAAGGTATAACTTTAATACGTAATTAACCTTAAAACTGTAGAAATAAAAATTCTTACTTAATGGTGTGTACAAAATTTGAGAAGCGAACGCTATACTGGGGGTATGTTCAGACCCGTGACGTCTTGTTCGTAAAAGACGACGACAGTCTTAAAGAGTCGTGCCGTTACTACAAGGCAAAGAAGATTGAACCGATGCCAGTAAATGATTTTTCGTTGTAACAGGTAAACGGGCGTTTGTTATCACTTCCGAATGCGATTCCGACGAATAAACCAGGCGTAGAGCCAAAACGGCCGCCTCGTCCGCTCAATATCACGACTGTATGCCATACGAATACAGGCCTTCCTAATAAATTACACATCTCTTGGACACACGAATATGGAAAGGTATCGCGAGAATATACCGTGACTCTAGGTACTGAACGATCTTGATGAGTGATACTCTACGAATATCAATTACAATACAGTTAGATAGTAAGGTTTCTTGACATACGTTAACCATTATCTATCACATACACTAAATGAATGTAAATTAATCTGTCGTTTATTAAAATTAATACGTTTTGGAATAAGTGAAAGTAGGTGGTGCTCACAAGACGTTGTGCTTGAAGCTTACGAATAATTACAGATCCAACGGTTAAGAAAGCTTTAGGTGCAGATCATGAGCGAATTCAGTACAACGAAATGTTTGTCTCATCAATGTTTGTAGCCAACGGCAAGCCGTCGTCATTTTACAGCTTGTTGTCTATTGCATCTACGCTATTTATTCGAAAATATTGTGCGTAATGCGAAAGTATGCACAACAACTAATTACGGTGTTCTATCGCTCTCTCTCTAATATATATTGTATATCACGTGTGTGTTTCAACTTAACTATCGGTTCCTGAAGGCGTTCGTGTGCGCGGTCTACCTAGTTCAGCGACATAATGCCAATGCATTGCTAGAGCGGCTTAAAAAGAAAGGACGCGCTTCTGTAGAGGCTACTAAGGTGACTTTATTTATGTTAACACAGAAAAGCAAGCCTATATAGATATGTATTTCTACAGGTGGCTTAAACCATGATATCAGTTAATGATTAATGTTGCTTCTGAACTATTTGCTTTGTTCCCCGACCAATTTGTCAGCTCATATCTGGAATCGAGGGACATTTATCAACTAAGTAGTAGTCCTTTAAGTGTACTTATACGGAGCGTAACTTAATTTTTTTTGCGTTAAAATTATCAAGTATAATTTGTGCGAACCCATGTATTCCTTTAGAACATCTATGTAAAGCTGGACGCTATTCATCCCTATTTTATCTGCAAGTTCCAAACGATTGTGTTTGATTCGTAGCTCCGTTCGGGTTTAAAATGGTGTGAAGCTGATCTATTGATCTTGCTTTGAGAAGTATATGTAACTTTACCTGTTTTATGAACGCAAATTGCTTATTCTTATTTTTTATTATTATACCTTATGCCTTATTTCTTTCAGTCGATGATTCGAGCGAAGTTACGTCCCGATAATGATGACGATCTCTGCATGACATCACTTCGACTGTCTTTGGTTTGTCCTTTGGGACAATGCCGAGTCCAAGTTCCGTGCCGGGCGAGAGGATGCTCTCACCTCAACTGTTTCGACGCTCACCTCTATCTAATGATGAATGAGAAGAAGCCCACATGGATATGCGCCGTTTGCGATAAGAGCATTTCCTACGACGATCTTTATATTGACGCCTACATGGAAGAGGCGAGTGACCGATAGTGACAAGTCTAAAAACAAAACTCCTTCCACTCCTTTTCCTACCGAAGTAAACGCCTGCGCAGGTCCAGCTAATAATTTTAAAAATGAATAAACCAATACACGAAATATCTTATTAATACAAATTTAATTAAAGGCTAATACATAGAGAGCAAAATTGCACCTATTGATACTGGCAGTTACCAGCTGTCCAGTAGACACTAAATAGCCTTACAATAATAGCAATATTTCAACTAATCGCCTCTTATTTTTCGTGTGCTTTGACGATCATAACAGGTCTGTCGATTAGCCCCTCTTGAATGTCGCGAAGTACAACTTAACGAGGATGGTTCGTGGACACCAGTAGTTGAAGATAAAGAAAAAGATGGTGGACGTAAAAGAGCTCGACACGGTGGAAGTGAATCGGAAGATTCCGATGAAGAACGAGAACGGAAACGTAAAAAGGAGCAATCTGAAAAGGACAAACAGGAGGTCTGTTTGCTAATCCTAGATCTTTGCCATAAGACTAGTTGGGTTCCGCCGAATATGTACCGCTCTTCTGCACTTGTCTGATGTTCGATTGAGCTAGCTGACTGATGTCAGTATAATATCTTCTTTATATCAGCCAATCATCTAAATGAAAAATACCGCTTAAGGCGATTCCATGTCCGTCATACGGTGCACAGTCGTCATGCTGTGTGATCCTGTTATTCGATTGCTTCGCTTTTTTTTTTCGCTGTCGTTTTCAGGTTATGATCGATCTCACTGAATCGACCGATGAAGAAGATAACGCTTTAGCTCCGGCTCCGGCACGGGCTGTGCAAGGAGCGCTTGTCTCTTCCAATCGAATTCATCAAAATTCGAATGCGCACATCCAGCAGCAACATCAGCAGACAATAGCTACCAGCGGCGCTGTACATTCGCTGAGCTCGCAGCGTGTACTGCCATCGCATGGAGTAGTTACTTCGGCCTCAACGTCGGCCGTGGGCGCCGCTACCCAACGGGCGTCCAGTAACGTTGTCTATGGATCGTCGGTATCATCCTGTGGCCAGGGCGTCGTCTCGGTATCATCATCTGGCAGCGGGCAGACAACAGCGGTGCGTTCAAATAGTGGGGCAGTTTCACTTCCGTCATCGCGTACAGCAGCCACGACGGCGTCAAGTTTTCTATCAAATTATCCAGCGGCAGCAGCAGGAGCGGCCTCCGGGACAGCCAGCGGTAGGAAGAAGTCAATTATCCTACGCACTCCCACACACTCACTCACTCCCTTACCGTGATCAATCCATGAATGCAAAAGCAATGAAAAAGTTGATTCTATTTTGTCTAAGACAGATCACATGTGATGCTTCTTTAAAAACGCCTCGTTACTACTGCTCCTTCTCTTCATTTCCTTATAGATTTTCCACTATAGGAATTATATTTTCCCTCCGCCAATCGACGTGTCATGAGTCCATTGAAAACGAGCCCGCTAAATTTTGAAATTGGAAACCAGTTGATCTAGAATAATGATTTTTAATGTATTAAAGGTACTCTTTATTTTTCACATGCTTACTTTAGCGCTCCAGTAGTTTCTAAATAGCGAAATGCCTACCATTGGCCTTCCGATTTACGGCTTCTACTTACAGCTTTTTGAAGTAAATCAATAGTATGATATGCTTGCCTACTAGTTGTAGTAGTTTCAAACAAAAAAGCCCATATTCACACGGATTTAGATCAGGAAAGCAAGCGCACCGAAGCCGACGTCAGATATCTTTTGCTCAATCCAAAAAGTAACTAAGGTGTGGTAATGAGATCTGGCATTGTTATTCAGTAACCAGATTGCATGCTTTACGGTGCTGTGCCAACGGCCGATGGGTCCATTGAGGACCTCAGGATAGCGTGCTGCATTCATTGTTTCATCTTCGGCAGGTGTCTCATAATAGTAGATGTATCTAATATTTATTGCCAGTACTATTATCACATTTGTCCGAACCTACTTGACATCACCAAACCTTATTTCCTTCTAGGACGAGGCCATTCTCTCGCCTGATTCTTTTTCGACTGGTGGTAGAACCACGGTTTTTTGTGGCTATCATATGCTCCAGGTGTTATTTTTATTATTAAGTTTCTACAAATTACAAATGGAATACGCCACAGGGATACCCAATCGATTTGAAGTTTTTTATTCAGTTTCCGCATTTTTAGCATTTACTTATATTTTTTTTATAATTTATAATCCTGTACGTACACGTAACTTGTCAATTGCCAGTTTGGTCGACAGAGGCCTTTGAGTTAAGCTCTGATTTAACGAAAAACTCTCCTCGATTGCGGCAATGCTTTCTTGGCCTTCGGGTCGCTAGCCTTCAGTACTTTTTCTCTTGAACTAACTTCTCCTAGAGTAAATCCAATCGGTTTTCACTCGGAAATTTCTAGCAGACTATAATATTAGCCAGCCACATAGTTTTTTTTTTTTTTTTTATAGGTTTTTTGTTAACGACGCATAGTATAAATAAGTAAAAGAAAAAGAGTATTTGTAAAGTCTGTCGGTTTCGTTTGTATAGACTAATACATGTCGGTAATGTATCCACCATAAAAAATTTCGAGCTGTTGACTGAAAGTCGAAATTAGTATAATCGAGTCATTTACGTAAAGTTGCATACTTTAATGTCGATATAAATAAAATGTCGCAGAGATTTATGACGACGGATTGCTTGAAGCCACAGCGTTACAAATCGGAAGTAAGCACTGAAGAAATACGCATTGTTTTTCAGGTGCAGCAGGCTATTACAACTCGTACTCCTCTACAGACTACTTTAACGCTGTGGCAGCAACTGGTGGGACGTCTGTCAGTCAGAATCTCTACGGACCCTATGGAAGTAAGTATTCCATACGATGCACGGTTTTCGTTAAACACCCTGATTTTACAGTCTTATTATATAGTATTAGTAGAAGTATTTATAGGTCACTGGTTGACCTGAAGTTCCTTTAGAAAAATGTATTAACAATGAATTAGCGATCAACTTTGTCTAAATGTACGAAGACATTTTTCCTGGTAGCCTAACTTCGGTTAATTCACAGGTTACAACATTTATCAGCTGTTGGCTGATGAACGACAACAACTTCAACAGCGATCTCAACCAAGCGTTCAACCAACAGCAGCTCAGGGAACAGGCTCAGGTCCCCGTGACGTTATCAACCTCGACTGACAGGTGCCGGCGCGACACGTACACGACCATTCAGGGGTGCCATCCTCTGTTTCAACAACAGCAGCTGTTGCAACGATAGCGACAACAGTCAGAACAACATCCATGACACCTACCTTGGTTAACAGTGTGTCTTCCTACCGTAGCAGTAGTCTGCTCAGTCACAATAGCAGCAGTTATTCTTATAATAACAACAACAACAACAACAACGAAAGTTTTGTCGAATCCTTTAGGAAAAAGCATTCGATAATTGGGCAGCAAGAACAGTATGATTACTCCTTGAAGTGTCATCACCTACACCTTCAACCCCACCATCATGAACAACAACAGGACACTGTAGGGTCTTGCCAACAGCAGCAGCAGGAATATTTTTTTCGAGCAGCAGCCGCAACAGCTAAATCAGGCCAGCAACAGTCACACCAGCAACATCTGCTCGACCAAACCTATCATGACCACCATGGGTCACAGAGTCAACATCAGGATGATCATCTGCGCCCTGATGGGCATCGAGAACAGTTGCGTGATGATAGACATCCATCAAGAGGGCATCAACAACAGCAGGAGGATCTGTACAAACAGAGAAGCGACGTACATCTGCAGCAACAGCAGCATCTGTTAAGACAGCAGCTCAGAGAACTCGAACACCGGCAAGAGCTGCTGCTTGCCGCTGGCCATCAGCAGCAATACCGACATCGTCACGAACAAAAACAGCACCATTTGATGGACCTGCAGCACGAAAGATCAACAACAACACAAAACGACTGCTCGTCAACTCCTGATAGGAGCTCGCCGTTTCCGATCGTCACGGGCAGACAGTAAAGCTGAGATGCATAAGAGACTGACAGATCTGGAGCAATAGCTTCAGTTGTACTTCCACCACACGCGGTCACGCAACACTTCTACTGCGCAGCATCCAGGTGTCGTAATTGAAAGTGCATCGTAACCTGGAACTACCACAGGTCAGGAACAACCAACGCTTCAGTATTTGCAGCGTTACGAGCAATCACGTACGGCCACTATGGAGTTTAATAACCTGATTGAGCAACAAATACAAAAACAACAATCATCACGTGAGTAACAGAAGTAGAAATAACCAATAATCTTCGTCGTCGTCGCCAACGACGACACCAATGGCGGCAACAAGAAATAAGTAACTGCGATATGCCCGTGTAGCGGCGACCATGCGTTTTAACCGCATCAGTAGCTGATGGAAGACCAGTAACAACAGCTCCTTTAGCAATTAAGCGTTGCTGCAAAATGACGAAGTCAAGCTAACTTCTGCATGAGCGGAGAAAGCAGAAGACAGATTCTACAATCAGAAGAACAAAAGAAAATACAGCCGCTTCTTTAAATTATTTTAATGTTCATAAACTAATTGGCCTCTGCCTGAGCTAACAGTGCCGATGGTGCGAATTGTAAGGGAAAATTCGTTCTAATTTCTACTGCTGCTGCAGGTGGTGATGATTATCACAGAAAAGCAAGCTAGCTAGCAAAATAAATCATAAGGAGACGACATACAGACACAATTGAAGGGATTGCAAATTAATGGGAAAGTGAGAGAAAGAACTTAATAAGAATTGTTGAGGATTGTGGGTTCATAAAAATAATTGTACACCGCTTTGAATGTTGAAAGGCAGATCGTTGTCCCTTTTGGCTGGTATATAATGCACAGTAATGGACCCTCTAGAAGTGATTGAGCTGCCCCTGTATATAACTATATATAGATAAAAACAAAAGCCGAAAAAGACAACTTGATGTTCCACACCGAAACGCGAAAGAAATGTCAATAAGTAATACGACGTCCAAGGGTGAATGTCAAGTGTGTATATATATCAAAAGCATTTGACGTTGGCGTGAGGGTTGTTTGGCGCCATCCAGCCATGGGCGTTATTCTTTGTGAGCATAATAGCTCATCTGTACATAAGTATTGTTCCGTGGCAAGGAAGATCGAGCGAGAACGACGTAAAACATGAGGAAACAAAGGTGACTGACGAAAACAACAACAACAACAACGCGTTCGAGTCAATTAAAGATGCTGTGCATGTAAGAATGTATGCTCGTATGCTTGTGTTAATGTATAAGGTTTGTGTATATATACGAGAAATATGCACCAAAAAAATTTTCAATCGTAATATCAAAACAGGGCAGCAAATTAAATGGGTTGCAGAAAAAGAGGTAGGGACGAAAGTAAGATCTATAGAGAGATGAATAACAAGAATAATGGGGAAAAGGGGAGGAACAAATAGCCCCAGAAGAACTGGAGTGTTGGAAAAAAGGGCAATGACAATACCTACTATTAATTTTAGCATGCGGAAACCTGTTGAACGTACGTCTCGAACGTATGCGACACAAAAATGAACAATTGTTGTTGTTGTTGTGCCGACAACAGTTGTAGCCAGCAGGGGGATTTAGTTGGAGTAGGTACATAAAAGCGAAAAATTTAGAAACACTTCAACAGGCGACGACGACGACGACAATAAATACCGCCTATGAATGAATCAGTTAGAATAACAATTATTCGAATTATGTAGTCACTGTTTGAACCGTTAGATGATTATTGTTAGAATATATGCACAAAATGCAGAAAGTAAAATGGCGAAAAAGAAATATGACTAATCACGGATTGTAATCATTGACCAAAAAAGTCCCGGCAAAATCTGGCCGATATGCGCTGACCTACTAAACGAATCCATTTTGCAGGTGTGTAAGTAAACATCGCCACGTATTTGTTATTATATATAATAACAAATATAAAGTATGTACATATTTCGCATATCGATTCATCACGCGATAATGTTAAGAACTGAAGATATAATAGTATTTGTTTCAAATCAGTCTACCTTTGGCGCTTATGGCTAACCAGTTAATTTTATCTATTAAAAGGCACAGCTGATTATTTGTTTGTCATCGCTGTTTCTAAAAAAGCAGAATGATTGTTGTTGTTGTTGTTGTTATTGCTGTACATCGCGTGCGATATGCGCGACAGCATGCACGATACAACACTCGACCAGTTTACTCAGTCCTGTTTTGTATTTTGTGATGTTACTTTGTAGAAAAAAAATAGATGTAACAAAAGAATGGTAAATGAATTTATCCGAGTGGGGGCGCTATGGCCAGAAAGCGAAGAATAGGACCTCAGCTGCTGTTGACTATTTGAGTCGAGACGAGAAAAGCAGAAATGATCGCCTTTACAGCGAAGGTCGTCGTTTGCCGATCGAACCTTTACCGTCGGTCGTCATTCATTGGCGTTCGAATGCGGCCCATGGTATATAGATATGCGCAGTAGTCTTATTACTTAGATATGAATAAAAACAGTGCTGCTGACGATAATGGTAGCTCGGTGACGGCGACGACGACAACAACAACGTAGATGAGCCCGCTAAACAGCCGTCACTTTATAGCCAAACTGAAAAAATGTTACTATTATATCAATACGAATCCAGATGGCGATGGTAGAAAGTATAGTCGATGATAGTAATATATGACTCAATCGATTTGACTAAGATATTAACACGACGGATAATCATAAAAACATTAAGAAAATTGTTTCCTTTGCGTTGGTGGAGTGACTAACTGAGCGATAGTGTAATGGCTATGCATGGGTTAATAATGAATGGATGAAAGCATACAAATAACAAGTGGAGGACTATTTTGCAACAAGTAATTTCGTACAACAGTTTGTAGAAATGAAAGAAACGAACCGCGCCTTTTTTGGGAATTCGGGGATTTTAAGATCAAAAATTAGCCATATGTTTTAGATTTATAGCATCATGACGTTCGAAGCCACCCGGTTACTATAGGACGATGTGGCTGCTGATGATGCCTTTGTTTCTTCACTAGCGAACTTAATCGGTCTAGCAGGTTCAAATAAATTTTGCTTTTACCAATTTCACAACTGGTGTTGACACAAATCTTAAAGGCCTAAACTTTTAATGCTTAAATGCCTTTCGCTCTGTCAGATAGAAAGAAGGGTGGTTATAAGATGGTACGGCGGTCGGTGCTTAAAACGTGACTACTCCAGTGAGTGCTTTGATTGATACACAACTTTCTGTTAATGGTACGAGTGTTTAGGCCGGGCCGGCGACAGGGCTTACCTGCACATCAAGAAATAAGGATTACAGTATCAAATACGTTCTTAAAAAATCGGCTTAAGATAACAACAGCCTTACCTATTTCAACAAGTAATAATTAATTTTAACTAAATAATCATTACTTGACAAACATCGATATCAACAATAACAAGGAATGCGAGATTTTTAAGCGAGGGAACTATGCGCCGCGTAGAGTATTGACGAAAGCGCATTCGGCGGTGTTACTGTTTTAGCGTTTTGTACTTTATAGTGTGTAGTGAAGACGCTAACGCCGTACTGTGGTGGTGGTGAGAGATGACGTCGTCGATTAGGCGGAGCAGCAACAAGTCATCAGACGATAATGAGGATGAGACAGTCCGTTATCTTACGTCCAACCTCGTGTTTCTGTCTATTGACCCCGAGGCAAATAGCGCCATACAAAAACAAAACAGCTGAAGATGATTAGTAGTTAGTCATATATGCGATTTGAAGTGGTGGATTGAAAGGGAACACAACAAACAAGCAAATCATCATGTTGCGATATATATATATATATATATATATATATATATATATATAGAACTTCTAAAACACGGTATTCAGGTGGGCCATACGCTGCAGACGAAAAATGACTAATGTGTGTGCGTGTATATACATGTATTTGGGAAAAAAATCTCGTGAAAGAAAGGGTTACATAAATATTGAATAAAAGATACAATGTATTAATACGTGTACAGAATTGGTGTTATTACTTGTTTTCCGGAAAATATATATGCACATATATATAGCGTGAAGCTAATTTTAGCACGAACCAACGGGCTAAAAGAGTCCCAACATGATTCGCTACTATGGAAAAAAACATCAGTAAAATAGCCTTCTGTTGTGTGGCCGAAATGAAGACACTAGAATTCTTTATCAATTCATCAATCTACAAAGTGGAGATCTACATGGACTAGATATATGAGGCACTAATTAAGTGAAATCAATAATGGAACAAAATTAAAGGGGAAGTGCTTTTCTTAGTATGGGGTGTGGTTAATACTGCGTATATCGTTCACTGGCAAATTAAGAGGTTCACATGGAAATCTATCGGACAATGTGTTTGGGTATTGGTCTAGCCACGAGTTACATTTCTCTTGAGGAGAGCTCGGGAACGGTTCTTCAATGCCGACCTTTGCGATTATGAATGAGTCTACTACAAATAATTATCCATGGCAAGTCGAATTGTGCTAATTGCGTTGCAAAGACATTGTTTACAGCAACGACACGTAACACAATGAGCGGAAAACTACGACGAGTTTAACAAATATACACATATATACAATTTTACACAGCCGAGTTTTATTCTGAAGCCGATTATTTATTCCAATTTTTTGTGAAATAAGCATTGACGGAATCTAATTTCATATATATTCCCGAAATTCAGTAGCTCATCGTGGCTGTTATATATTCATTTTCATATATAAAGGCTTCATATAACTGATCGTAGTGACTTTTATTGAACATAATTTCCTTTCGGCTTGTCCCTAAAGTGTAGGTCTGACATAGGTGAAGCGGTCATGGTTAGAGGCAATAACTATTGCAGTAAATTTTTCATCAATGTGCTATCAAAAAATTCTAATTTAGTTATATTCAATTAAATGTAATCGACAATGTTGTAACGAGCGCCTAGATAAATTGGGACGAAAAATATATTAAAAAATGCACTCGAACTTTATGGAAAGAGCTCATATGTTAACGAGAGTGTCTCTTCTTAGCATGAATCAAACTTAAGTAGAGTTTAAGTTAAACTATATTTTGATTGTTACAATTAAGTCAACAAATGACGGCAGTAGCGCTAATCAAGTTTAGGAATCGCTTTATCTAAGCAAAGCAAAGATTTCCAACTTCTGCATAATGTCAAAAAAACATTTCTACTGATCTCCGAAACGATCGATGTTGGAAATAGAAGTCATCATGGAAGTGCTAAAAAAACAGGTATATGCCCGACAGCCAAATACGACTAAAATAATGTACGGGTGATGGAATGGCATATTCTGTAAGATTTCGTGCCGTGAGCTAGCCTGTTTGTTGCCAATAAGCGTATTTATCTAGATTTTGGTACTTCATATAGGATCAATTGACACCAGTATAATGGTTTGGAATTTGGAACGATTTGAAAATTGGATTTGGAACGTTTGGACTGTATTCTCGATATGTCCCCTCTATGTCGAACTGTTCCTCGATATGTACGCTCAGAAGCATGCCTTTGCAAAAAATTAACGTTTTTGAAAAACTGTACTGAAAAAACTGAGCTTTTGCATTAGTTTTTACACATTTTTCTCTATTTTCTTTAGTATCAGATGAGTCTCTATTATACCACATAGACGATTCAATAATTTAATTAATTGACCCTCTTTTTAAGCAAAGGAGGCATTGCCTACAACTTCTGTAGTTGCCTTTCCCAGGAATGGTTCCAATTAACCGGAACAATCGACATTAGCAATCATGCTACCTTCTGGAAACAAACGCAGAAAAAAATGAACAACTGGGTCTGATGATTTCTCATTTATTTGGCAATTAATTAAGCAATTTTTCCTACTCTTCGCAACCGCAAACCTTGTTCCGAAAAGATTTTACACGTGGTTCTTTTTTCTACGCCGAACTTTATAAATACATTTGTTTTTGGCCAACTGTTGATTTCGCTTAATTGTTTTGTTTGTTTTATTCAGGCAGTTAATATTATCGTTTGTAAGCGTTTCTTATTTATCAGCACTAAAAAAATTAAACGTAGTCTGGAAGAATGCATTGTAATTTATTTATCATTATTTAGTTGTGACTCTGCTACTATACTTAAAGGTGACTATTAATGATGTTGATATCCTTATCCTTTGTTTTATACTACGAGGGCACGAGGGGCGTGATAGCTTGACCCACCATTTCGGTTCTACGTAAACCTGCTGCAATTATTGACCCAAACTTAGTAAAGTGTATGGTTGATCACTGAAACGGATGAGAGTTACTCATTCTCGGTGCCCTTCTTTATACACTAGATTTATGGAAAACGATTTTTCTCTAATTACTAATTTCAGTAAAAGTTCTGTCGATTCGAACATGTAAAATGATCATATATATATATATATATATATATATATATATATATATATATATATATGCTTCACAACGTATTACTCGACGACGTATGCGACTTCTTTCGTACTTCCCAATTACATCGATATATTTAGGCATTCATACATAGACAATGTGGTATGTCTAATAAATGGTTTTGTCTTCCGTCGACTGTTGCTAGCACTGGGTTCGTCATTCGTTCACTTTTCAGTGCAGGAATATACTAAGATTGCAGATAACCTTTTTATGCTATGATCGATTACAGAGGTTGGGGTCTGCTAAAAAAATTAAGCTATCTACAGAATAGTACTAATTATCTTGTTCATCATAAATTATGTGAATTTTTTTCTATAATACATAAATTTACTTTAAATAAATGAAGCGTTCCTGTTTTCATATTTGCTGATATTGTCTACAGTTCGTCTTACGGCGGTAAGACGCTTTTGAAAAAGATCAAAAGTGTTGTATACGATTATGAAAACATGTAGCTTATTGATTTGTATCGCTTTTATAGATGACGGGTCAATATCAGCAAGTAGACGCCGGAGAAAGTGCCAGAACATTAGGTCCGATAATCTTACCCTTCTATAACTGCACGCAAGTTAATCTCAGAAACATATAGACAGAGTAAATTTCCTTAACAAGTTCATATAGCATTGCATCCTCTGCCAGCAGTTACTTTGAACGGAGTCTGCTAAAAGCCTAAAACCAAAGCTACAGTGTCATAGTGTCAACGTGATCACAGCGGTAATGCAATAGCCGTATTTAGTTCCGTTTGTTTTACCGATACATTATACAAATGGAGACGGACACAGAGACAGATGTGCATGCTAGCCCCGTGTATTGAAGCCGACATTCATAAACACCGGATTACTTAAGTGGTTGAGAAGGAAGCTAGATGGTTACGTGTGGAGAAGACGCGGGACATATTTGTTAACGTAGTTCACTTTTTTCGTCTCTCTTCCTGCCTAAGATGCGCGTTATTACGTGTGTGGCTAGTCTACTGTTGCTGCTATAGTCACTAACAGAAGAGCGACTGAGCTGAATTTTGAGAAATAAGTGAAGTGATAATATGTATGTATGTCTTACCGGACGTCCACAGTAAACCGTACTCGTTTGGTTTTCAATATAGTAAACATTGCCAAACCTGCCAATGGTAGCTGAAGTTCGAATAATCATTTCAGGTATGTCGTACATAATAGACGGCTCAGCAGAAACGATCGTTTATTGCATTGGGGTATGACTTCAGTAATTCAAGTAGGGTAGTTGCGTGACGATGTCTTAAAGCCTTGTTTTATGTATGGAGATTCAAAGTACAATTGTTTTATGCCTTCAATTTTGATAAAATGTTAACAGGTTACGTAGTTACTACACCATATCCAAAAACCAACAATAAAGGACTCGGACCGTTACTGTTCGTACTAGCCATTGATTCGCACCTTCACTATAAGTTCACTATAACTCTAAGCAACGAATTTATCGAGAGAATCCAATCAGATGGATGCAATAGCGAGGTATTTTTGAATCCATTATCACTAATTTTGAGATTCATTCTCAATGTTTACCTATGAAAGTGAAGAGAGAAGGAACCCAGTTTTCATCAGTCGGCTGAAAAGTTTAATGCAGGTACAGACAAACAGATAGAAAAACACGCAGCAATTTTCAACCTACAAATCATATTAACAACCATAATAATAGCAATAATCATTATTACTATGATTAATACCACCATTTCGTTATTTTTGTTTTTACCATTAATGACATTTCAAACACAGTATTACAGGCGCTCATTTAATAACGTGATCAATCTCGGAGTTCATCTAATGGAAGGGTTTCAGAATAAATGGTAAAGTCGCTAACGTATTACTATTCCTATTATAACTTGGTTGGCGTCGGAAGCCATCTTTTCCTGTTTTGTCCTGACATACTAAACTAATTCGTTTATTTAGCTTTTGTTATTCCCACAGATAGTATTACCTTAACTCAATGACAAATATATATTTGTCAATCGATCTTTTTCACCTACTTAAATATGTACAAATCTCATATAGAGTCTACTACCTGCTTCCATCAAAGGGGAAAAAAGGATTTAATTATAGAATAGAGATACTATGTACATGTATATTTATAGCACTTGCAATAAGGATATTATTTTCGGTGTTAGTATTGGTCCAATCCTTACGCACTGATGAGATGCAGTAACTAACGTTCCTTCGCTAAAACACCACAGCACACTTCGCTATTTCTTCTAGATTTCCCTATTGTCCTGCAGATTTGCCTTTCACCCGTCTGTCGGGAACATACTTCGTTTCTCTGTATATACGTATGGCTGTGTGTGTGATACGGCTTCACTCGCCTGTGGTTACGAATTTTCTGATTTCACGTTGTTGGATTCTTACCTTTTTACACCTATCTTCCACTCATGTATTCGTCAGTCTTTCCTATATCCACCATAGCTATAATCGTTGCTTGTGTCTCGACCCTTGCTTATTTTTATATATCTAATATGAATTCAGCAAAAGCTGTCTATCTTGGCCTGAAGAAAGCTTGACAACGACTTTCTCCTGAACAGTCGTTAGCATAGGTTGTCAATTCGATCAGACCAGACTTGATTTTGATTGATAACATTCGTTTCCATAAGCGTAAATAGGAATGAACGACACTTTTCCCAAATTCGATAGATCTTTCGTCTGGCTGATATTAGATGCTCCTACAAATAGTTGGTCATATATGGATTCGAGTTGAACCGTATGCCGTTTCATGCCAAGCAGCAGTCTGGGCTTTTTCGCTGTTAGTCTGCATCAGATATGAATGAGACCGTATGCGCGGCTGGTAGATGCACTAATGTAGCTACCAGGTCGCAGCATCACATGATACTAGAATTGAACACATGATTCTGTGCATTGTTGGAGACAGGTCTTGTTCCTAAAGTGAAGAAAAACACATTTTTTTTTCTAGGCCTCGTAGTAGGATCAGGCTTGAAAGTAAAATGTCTTCATCATCAGCATAATAATATCGACGAGCGTGCGATGAACGGGGTTGATCATGAATATGACGATGAAGCTTACATTGTTGGAGATTTCTCGAGTGACGACGCCTGTCTTCTTAAAACAGCCAGATATTATCCTTTTGCAGCATATACAAGTGGTGGTAATGTTAGTTGTGATGTATTTACTGATAAAATGATAGATAGCACTCGTGGTATAATGTGTTTACGTGGTGAGTTCGACTGCAATGAAACGTTTCAGACGCTCAAGATACTGCGAGTACAGTTCCACATCGTTGTGTCCGGCGCCCTCAACCTAAAAAATCAAAGATCAATATAAAAGCGTCGTAAAACGTCTATTCAAATCGGTTGCTTAAAGATCTGTGATTAAAATGTAAATAACATGGATAAAGTTATTATTTCGTACTTATTCCAGCAATTAGAATCTGACCTCTGCGAAGTGATAAGGCATTGAATAATTTTCAAAAACAAATCTAGTGATAAGTTATGTTGCCTAGCTTTTCCGTTTGTACTTCTATACCCGTACCTTCAGTTGTACTTAAACGACGACTGTAACAAATTGGTAAAGAACATTACTCTTGAAGGATCAAGCACGGCTTTCGCTAGTTACATCTACCGGAAAATGCCATTTGTTAACAGTAGGAACTTCAACTGCACCTCTTTCTAACTTATTTTTCAAATTTTAAAACAGGTTAATTTTAAATCTTAGGTTAGGTGTAACTTAAGCTTAGGCTAAATATATCATTTGACTTAAAAGTACGTAACTAACACATAAAATGTATGTATATATCACAGCAGCTTAACTGGAACTCTCACAGGAAGTTTCGTTCCGCGATTATGTCTAAGTAAAAATGATTAAGATTTTTTGCATGTCTTAAATGTGTTATTTCTAAGATATAATTAGTTATACCTTTCATTGGGTGTATAAACTACTTACAGAATACTTGTTAATAAATTTTGGGCTGGTAGCAAAACAAAGGTCGCAAGAATACAAGGGCTCAAAGTACCAGAAATGTTCAAAAGATCAAACGAAAACGCGAAAGGTCTAACCGTCAGAGGTTATTGCACGGTCCAATTGGCAATTGATATTTTTATTCTAAAACGGCTGTCAATTCCTATAAATCTGGCAATGACTTGAATTCTTGATTTTTAGCAACATCGAAGTTCCTGATCTTGTTCGGAAAGAATCTTTATGGAAATATTAGATAGCAGTAGATCTTCGCTCAAATTTTGAAGATGACGAATTGTTGTTCGCCATGACGGGTATGTCATTTTATACTAGAAGGAAATTGGCCTTCACCTGGTATCAGGAGTAGTGAGTAAAGGTACGCCGGTCGCAGAAAATAGCCCATCAAATTTTGTCCGGATTCAAGTGCCGTGTATATATACATACAGCAAATAAACAGGTGCAATACTAACCCATAATGGTTCGACAGGGCGCGGGCATTTTTCATAGATAGCAAGACCGTGACTAAAATCAATCAGCTCATCTTCAGTACCGTGGATCACAAGCACTGGCGAGGATATCTTGGGGATCTTGTCGATCGAGGGAAACGCATCAAAGAACCACGTCCGTTTTGTTTGTGGGAATGCAACGCGCATTCCTGACATTAGCGGCGAGTGCAAAACGACAGCTCCAACCTATGAAATTCAAATCGAATATGACAGTAAAAATTACATCCTCAACGTAACTATTAATGATAGAATATGAAGACAGGAAGACGTCTAGTTGGTTAACAGGCCTAGTTACATAAATTTGCTTTCTATAATTATTAACCCATACCAGATGAGCATGTAAGAACGTATATTAATAGGTTTATTTAAGAACAAATGCATACGATCGTGTACTAAGTAGCTAAAAATCCAAGCAGTTTTTCGGTGACAAACGCATGACAGTTATATAGCTATATATATTATTAATTAGTAGAAATGGAAACAAACTCCTCGTTAGTACAGCTTTTTTGAAATTTTTGCAGTCAAGTTTTAAGCCAACAGATTTTTTTTCATTAACACTCACACCCTACTAACCTCATATCTACTTGCAAGATCAACTGTGGGCACAGTTCCAATGGACTGCCCGTAAAGGATGATGTTCTCCGGCGAAATCCCGTACCTCGTCCGTAATGCTTGCCATGCAGCATCGATATCTGCATAGAGATTCTTTTCTGATGGTTTTCCCGTTGAAACTCCGTAGCCCGAGTAATCGTAAGAGAAAATGTTGCAATTGATCCTGGTAACAAATAAAAGCGCAATTGAAAAATGACCGTTACTAATGTACCATTACATTGCCTGACGAGTAAGAAGGGAATTACCTTTTCTACTAAGAGAGAATTGAACAGAATAAACGCAGCAATTTTATCCCATTCGACGCTCTGAACTGAGTGAAATTACTAGTGGAATGTTTATATATATATATATATATATATATATATATATATATATATATATATTAGAAAAAGTAGGCTATATGGATTACTTTGTTTTTTTTTGTAATGAAAGGTAGACTTTAAGAATAAATGCCATCAAACCTTTTGAGTTATGAAATTCATACGAGTCAGAAAGTTAATACAAATCGCGTTACTGGATTTTTTATGAACTAAATTCCAAACTATTTAGGACAACTATTTGCTTCGTAATTTATCGCACTTATTGAACGTTAAAGGAACAAAATATTTACAATTTTACCGATGCAAAGCTTCATTTTCCAAAGTCGATCAGGTCGCGTCTTTTAAAAGTTATTACATCGAGTATGTGACCACCTCCTGACTTATGGGTCAGGGTGGGGTGTGGTTATATGGTACAGTATTTCCATGAAACGAGAGGTTACTGGTTGCTTGTCATATTGAGAAATTAAGAAACCCAACTGACGTCAGAGCAAAACAGAGTAGTTGGCACACGTACACATCTATGTATACATTTTGCACTAAACTTGGCTGTTTTATATTTTTAAATTACCTTTCGTAATACATTGTGACGCATAACGAACCATGGAGAAACAACATTGCTGACAAATACACCTGTTGTTCTTAATGCAATATGACACAAATTTCCGTATGTGCCATAATACTAAATGGCGTGCACCCTGTATCTTGTTGATTAGATTTCTTTCTAGCAGGAAAATAGCTAAAAAGCTTAAGATGAACAAGCGGAAAAAGTTCTAATATAACTTCGCTATGCGCATAGATTATATAAGCTCATACATGTTCAAAGTAAGGTTTTACAAACTAGTTTATAAACGACATACACGTACGGTAAGGTTAGCATCGCGATCGGGATGTAGCAAAGAGTGGGGTAATAGCTTTTTTAGCACAACCGACTAGCTTTCCCGTGGAAAACCGGTGCAAGTGCAATTTTCGGCAAGGAAACGGTTAGTCTTTTAATAATCTCAGAGCTTTAGTGGAGTCATATAGCTCTACTGTTATAACTTAGACGATATGTCTCTTCTAATGGTCATAAGTTCTCTAGACGCAAATGCTCCTAAAGTAACGAAACTTGTTAAGCAAGAAATCTTTATTATAACGTTCGGCTTCGTATCCGCAAATGGCGACAGTTCCTTTTTGTTTTGTGTTGGTTGAAGTCACTTTAAGCACCACATCCTTAGCTAACATTTGGTAAATCCGTCCGGATAACTTGCATAGAATATGTTTTCGGACTATTTTCATCATTTTGTAAATACTATTGGATAATTTTTAAAAAAGCCGTACCTGCAAATCATCAATAAACGCAAAACAAGCTATAACAGAGAGATATCATTTTTTAGGCTATCAGAAACTTGGTTTAGTAAAATCCAACTTACAGTTACTGATAATAGTAGGAAGTTGGAAAAAGTGCATACGCAACATTATCTATCATAACTTTTGACCATTTTCAAGGCACCTTCTCGCCAAGTGAAAATGTATTTACATTACAGATATTCAACCGGGACATGAGACCATTATGGGGGCCATCCTAACAGAACTTTTTTTTATGAAAGACGAAGCTCTATTGTCAATTGTCACCCTTCTTCAAGCAGCAAGAGGAAAACTTTGTAAATAATTCAAAATCCTCACAAAAATAATGGTACTTTCGTTTTTGACTATACAGCCTTTTTTAAGTGTCTGACGGTTGTGTTATTAAAATTAATGTACTAAATTTCGGCCACATTAGTCTATTTGCATCCTTTTCAGATTCATCACATTAGTTTTTAAAGATACCTCACAATTACGGCTACAAGCTTATGTATAGACAATAAGCGAAGCTCATTTAACTAGCAATATCTTCTTTCTTTACAAGAACATTGAAATATTCGGAAATGTTTAGCCACAGATTACGAGAGCAATACCTGAAAGTTGTAATTTTTGCGCGAAATCGCTACTAGCCCACACAGCCCCATTGCTAGTCTATGTGGGGTTATGTGGGCCTTCAACATAGGCGCTTTTAATGGATTGTTTCTCGAAAACCAATTAATCCTTGCCTCCTTTTTAGGCCATTAAGTAGGAAAATTTTTTCTCTCGTAGCAGCCGTTTTTTAGTAACGTTTGATAAATTTGGTTCATGTCTGAACCAAGGATCTCATTGAAGTCTTGACAACATTATTGTTTTGAACGCAATAATAGTTAAGAGGATAAAAGTATTTGTCTACAAAAAAAAAAAGAAGAAAACTAAATTGAACACTTCTGCAATTTTTTTACCTGCGCACTCGCTCTAATTTGATCAAACTGTTACTGTTTTCGGGATCTGACACCCAACATCGATTTCTTAACTCGTATCCCTCGGTGAACCTCGTAATTAAGCAAAACATTTCCAAACGAGGATTTTTATAATCTAGATCATGTTTGAATAATTAACTTTATGAAAATCGTGATAATTTTTTGTTTTAAGCGTAAATGGTAGCTGAAAAAAGTATACAATAACGAGATAAAGACATTGCAACTAGCTTTAATTACTCCATCTGAAACTGATATTACATGAGATGTTCGTGCTAACATGATTGGGTATAGAATAAGATCACGATCTTTACTAAATCTCATAAAATGTGAACAGGTAAAGAAGGACAAGTGGAAAAAATCATTCAAAAGGTACGAAATCATTTCTAGCATCTTTTTTTGACAAGTTTATATTTTCGAGAGGTCAGGGTCAAGGTAGGAAAGTTGAAGCCACTAGATCCTATGTGGGAAAATAAGCCTTTTGGTAACGTGAGTCAATATAACGAATGCTGCACAGTCACGCATTATAAAGGACCATACATCCCCAACTACAGCACATACGTTCATTCTTGTTGAGTAGCTTGTACAGAAGCCGTATTTGCTAAGACGCCCTGACAGGGTGAAAATGCACTTCTTGACGCCTACACCAGAGCGACATTTTGACAACCAAAGGTAAAGCTTTGGACGACTCTTTGGTTCTTCCCTTGTGTAAATGGGAGTAACGAGCGCAGGAATTAACAAAAAATGACTTTCGATGATGAGTTTAAAGCCGCGTTGGGGATTAAATTAAAGCGATAGATAGGTAGCGACCGTTGGCAATAGTCTGACACGGCAAATGTTCAAGAAAGCAGCTTTTACGCCAACGGAATGAGCAGTGTATTTATTGCCACCGTCATTAGCGCACAAAGAAGGAGAGTTTTTGGTCGTCTCCGTCCTGTAAAAAATTTCAAAAGGCCTGGGACGTGGTAGAGGAGCCACCAGCAGCTTCAAACCCGAACTGACTGTGCAACTTTCTTAATTGCATAATGCTAAGCGCTGAGTAACTTATAGTATTGGATTTTAAAAACCGGAGTTCTAATTCGAAAATAAGCATAGTATTGGATTTTAAAAACCGGAGTTCTAATTCGAAAATAAGCTTTAAGCTAAGTTCTTTATGGCAACGCTCCAAGGTCATGAGCCCATCAATCAAGTTTCTACGCTTTTTTCAGGAAGTGCAGGAAGAGGGACTAGAATAAAGTGTAGTGAATCATAAGCGAAGAGAAAAAGGCGTGGTGGACTGCTTGAGTCGGTATAATTAAGTTAAAGATACTCCTAAAATTCCTCTACCAGGAAGTTGTGGAGCTTATCAAGTTAACATTTTGTGTCGCCGGGAAGCGTTTTAGAAGTGAGTGATACGTAAGATTTTGCTTTAGGTATAATTCAACTATAGTGTAATGCTCTGCTATGCTACATACGGCTATTTTAACAACGTTTTGTCACCTTTATCCGCCGCATGGAGGATATATGACTTAAACGAGTCACCAAATGGAAACGTAGAGCAAAGTCTCTCTTTCTCTCGAAAAGGAAATCAAGCATGACAGAAGATCTTGGAGAGTGACTGGGTGAAATAAATTGACGTTATCTCTATGATTTCAGTAAGCTATAATTATTTTAGATTGTGTGGACTAATGTTGGTCCTACAAGCCAAATATTATTAGTCATCATTTAAGCGGATTTAACGGTTGATGACAAATCACGGTATGTAAGAAAATTAAGGTTTCGGTATAAGTACCTAGAGTGTTACAATTATAACAAGGTGCATTATAATTATCACTATCAAAATAGGGCCATGTATCATCCAATATCGATTTCAGTATATTCACCGGAGCTGCTGCATTTGATAGCTTTTCTGATGCTCAACCAGCGGCTCAATAGGGTTAACGCTGAAAACGATCACCTAGAGTAAAAAATATTAATAAGAGAGAATGGGTTACAAAATAATTAGCCTGAAAGTAACAGATGTTTAGTGAATTTAGTTTAAGTGAACTCGTATGGGTTTCCCTCCAACCTAGAGAGCTCTTGTCGAGAACTAGAAAATGGGAACGAAATTTACTTTTATGAGGTGCGCCGCTAGCTTGCTAGCAACCAACGTTCTCGGAATTTCTTTTGCAAAAAACAGTGTGTACTTCAACATAGATAAATGGTATGCCAAACTTGCACACTTAGCAAAGCTTAATATTATTACATATTTGAGCTAATTTAGAAAACAGCTAAATTAATAACGAATATAGAGTTATAAGAAAAGTGTCCATCACTGATATCTTAATCAATCCTACAGAACCGTTGCGTTCTATCAGACATGTTTAGCTTTAGCTACAGCAACTGATCTGCTCCACTATCGGCAGCAGCCACGCTATCGACAATTAAGGTCGCATAGGACGCAGCTTCCTTACCCCAGCTAATATCAGCAATTTTTTCTTAATGTTACGTTATTACACACGTATGTTTAATTAACAAGGACCGCGATATGGGACTGCATATAACATTAGACTGAATAGAACAAAACT